AACTCTATGTTTAATGCTATACGGTCTACTGTTCGATATCGAGATGCCGCGCCATTCAGCATCTTCTCTCCTATCTTATTTCCTGCGTATATTACCAAATAGATGAGTTACCTAAAAGAATCATAATGTCCTGTATATCCTGTACCTATATCCCTGAAGTAGACGTTCGAATGACACCAGATGATCGGCAAGGCTCCACCAGTTATCAAAAATATATTAAAAAAATAAGTTATATATTTTTTAAATTACAATGACTTATGTGTTATCCACGAAAAAATACAGCTGGTGCCAGTCTTTTGACTCTTGTTGCTATAATTCTTTATTTTATCATCTGTATTTTTGCTTACGTTATCCTGAATAGTGATTCAGTAATATGTAATTACAAATTCTGAGCCAACTGTTTTAGTTTGGAAAATAATGACATTTTTTGACGAATCAAGTTTTCTCAATTAATTATTTCAACCGTGATAAAAAACAAACCCCGAAAAAAAATCTTACTTCTTCAGAGACACCTTGTGATCAGGCATCGTAATTATACCTCTATATGCAATAACGACGTACACTTTTTTATTGTTTCGGGTTCCTGTTTGTGTCCTTAATGTGGGTGTAGGGCACGTTCATTAGATTACCTTTAAACAAGATTATACCTAGCTCCAAACCCAACATACTATGTATGTAATATGACTGACTGCGCGGTTGGCGCGGTGGTTGGGCAACTGGCTGCCGTGCAACGTGTCGCGGGTTCGATTCCCGCACGGAACAACTCTTTGTGTGATCCACAGGTTGTTGTTCCGGGTCTGGGTGTGATGTGTATGTGATATTGTATGTTTGTATTCGCACCCACGACACAGGAGAAAATCCTAATGTGGGGTAACGTTATATAAAAAAAAACATACATAACGTAGGTGTAGACCAGTACCTGAGTGATACAATACAATGCAATAAGAATTATAAGACGGTGGTCATGTGAATGTCAGCTGGTGTCTTCTGAGCTATTAATGTTACAAACTGATGCATGGAGCTATTCAACTAATATAAGTATTGACGGCTGCAACTACCGGGGTATAGGGTTGTCCTGCTTGTCCCATAACTGTACAATGTTTCATTTTATGTAGGAAGTAATAAAAGTTGTTTTAAGTATTTTACTATCTTCTAAGCCTGCTTGTGATTATGACGTACAGTGCAATCTCCTGCATGCCTAGGTAGGTGTGTGAAAAGCAATCTTAACGTTATAAGAATAGATTTTATTTTTCTACAATCTTATCGTGTTCTTTTACTAAGAACTTAAAGTCAGCACATTAGATTGCATGTCAAAATGTGGCTACAGCTGCAGAATAGTTCCCGTTTAGATGTAGTTACCAGCATATTTTGCAAATGCAATCCTAGGTGCAGTATTTAATTGCCTCATTGTTCAATGACCAACAAATTAACATACCGGTTTCAATTTCAACGAATTAAGACAGATGATATAATATTACAACTCTGTATAGCTACGCAACAGATCAGCAGATACCTGTGATATCATGTATAGAAGTCTAGGTTCTAGATGCACATAGGAATCTACACTTTATTTGCAAAGAAACTTAGCCCCTAGCTATATCTGTTCCTATCCATTTGATGAGTAAACGAGTAAAAGCCGGGGTGTCATAATATGTTTTATTGTCAACGAAAGAGCATTAGATAATGGGCAGCTGATAAATGATAACGCTATCAATGATTAGAGAGTTTTATCTGATTCGGTTACTTAGTAGAAAGTATGATTAATTGGTTAAAATATCATTATGATATGATATTACGTGGGTTATGTAATAGCTATTCATATCCAAAGTGTTTATCACTGCGAGCACCGCCCTGAAGGCACGTTGAAACACACGGTAGGGGCATGCCCTGCGTGGACTGAGCAACAGCGTGCCCTCAGGGATGTGATCGGTGATGACGACCTCTCGCGTTCTGCCCTAGTCCGGGCTATGAGGCGGGGTAAGGCGAACTGGAGGACAGAGAATGGTTACAATATTACCTTAGAATAGCTTCTGCCAGCGGCTTCGCCTGCGTTTTCCTGGGATAAAAAGTCCTATGTGTCCTAGACCATAATCTATCCCGGTTCCAAATTTCATCTCGATTCCTTAAGTCGTTTTGACGTGAAGGCGTAACAAACAGACAAACAAACAAACTTTTGCATTTATAATATTAGTAGGATTAAATAGATTGTGCATGTGGGTAATTATGTAAGAGAAAGGGAGTACACTCCTACAATAGCTAACTTGTGCACAGTATTCCACTAATGTGTGGCGTGATTGGGTCGTCCCTTTAATCTTATCGGCGACTGCTCGGAAACTGATTATAAAAATGACGGCGACTCACTACGATTACGTGCTGACATAACATGCGACTAATCTGTGTACAAATAATAATAATATATTTAACTATTATATTTATGTGCCCATTTCTTTATTGAGAGATGTTTCTGTTATCGAACATAGTACTTATATTTCCGACTTTCAAGATAGGTAACCTGAGAAAAATGGTGTCTACCTAAACCACAGTCCACCAGGCACCAAGCGTAACTTGGTGGAAACAAAAGCTAGACATTAAAATATGATTTTAGAAAACGGTTTATATGGGTAATAGTAGCCTTAGGTATATCTATCTGGTTAGGCAGGTAACGATCCCCTTCACGCTCCAGGCGTCGCGGGAGACTGGGTTTGTGAGACGATCTCCGGCCACCCCGTAAGCACGGGCTTGCGGACGGCGAGCAAGGGTAGCTTGCCACCTGACCAGAACCAGACTTGTGCGTGCATACATGCGCTTCTCAGACAGCCATCAGGCCTCTACAGATGGGGCCCAGTAGGGTATATCCGTTACGGAGCTCCGAGATAGGCTCCGTACGGCTCAAAGAGCAGGAGTGTTTTTTTCAGTAAAAGTCTGGCACCTCACTAAGGAGAGAAGGGAGTAGTTAAGCCCTCAATAACAAAAAATAGTACATCTATCTGATTTTACAACTATAGACTGCAGCAAGATAGATTCCTGATGATTGATGAACGATTCCATTATGGTTATCGGTAATAGTCTTAACAATATAACGCAAATTGGCGTAAAGTAAGAAGATGCAACTATTGCCACCATATCATGACCATAATATCAATAGGCTAGGCCTATTAAGCGTTTTATGAAGGTAAAGCAAAACAATAATAATAATAGCACGCACTCGGATTCGGCCTAGGACAACGCTATATTTTATTAACCGCACTTGGCTCATTCAGTGACTGATGGCTGAAAGATAACGCACAGACTCCTGGAGCCAGGATGCTGAAATTTAGCATGTATGTTCCTTGGGGAGTATTAGGGGACTAAGGTATAAAGGTTCCTGAATTCCCACGGTAATTATCTATTAGTGCGTACGCATTGGCTGCCAGAATCTAGTTAATATTATCTTTATCTTTATATATATAATTCTTCCGTGAGTGTGTCTTTATATATATAATTCTTCTATGGACCGATTTTGATGAAATTTTTTGTGTGTGTTCAAGGGGATCTGGGAATGGTTTAGATTCACAAATCAGCCCGGCAGATGGCGCTGCAGTCGGAATCTAGGTTATTTATCTATATCTATTATTATATTATTTTTATTATATTATATACAGGATATCGTGTCGGGTCCGCTAGTATTAATATAAATTTTAGCGAGACAGGACACTGAAGCTGGTATAGGTAGGCTAAATTTTTGACGGGTAGATCTGTGGGTAAAAGCTAGCGTATTCTATCAATAGTTGACCATTATAGATTTCGCAAGTCCGTGATAATATTATTATTTGTGATTGTTTTCGTCTGTGTACGTTTATTGTGTTTCTTTATGTAAGTGCAACGCTATGCTACACTGGCGCGATATAATTGTTCAATAAAAATATCATAAAAGTGTTGATATTCTATAATCTATAAATCTATAACCTGTAAATGACTGCACGATTGGCGCAGTCGCTGGACAACTGGCAGCCGCGCAACGTGTCGCGGGTTCCATTCCCGCACGGAACAACTCTTTGTGTAATCCTCACACAGATTGTTGTTTCGGGTCTGGATGTCATGTCATGTTTATATGAACTTGTATGTTTATAAACGCACCAACGACACAGGAAAAATCATAGTGTGGGGCAAGGTTTTTCTTTAAAAATATATATATTTTCAGTAGTTACTGTAATCATAGAGTTAACGACCACAGATCTTCAGACTATATTTTTAATTGAGTTCAAGTTAGACTTTTGGGGATCTCAAAGAGATTGAGTTTTTCGACTTACTTACGTAACTGCTTGACGAGGTACTCGACTAGTTTCATGGTACTTCAGGGCCTCATATTCATCAGCTACTGACTACTCAATACTGAGTATGAGTGAGTACTGAGTGTATGCCTAACAGTCGAAAAACATAATTAATAATTTAGTATGTTTCGCAAAAGCAATTCAATACAAATATCTCAAATAGAGTTTACTATTGCGCAAGTTTCATTCGTAAGTTTAGGTTAATGAGCTGAGTGAGCATGTTTAAGCGAATTTCAACTAATTGCTATGGCTAATAAATGTCATATTTCCTATGTAGCCACTTGAATCTGCTAATTGAATCTGAATCTGAACCTGCTGACCCCTCGTTGGCCGAGTGGTCGCAAGTGCGACTACCGGGCAAGGGGTCTTGGGTTCGATTCCCGGGTCGGGCAAAGTATTACTGGGTTTTAAAAAAATCTCAGTAGTAGCACGGAGTCTGGAAATGTGCCCGGTATATGGCAATAGGCTCACCCCCTATTACATGGGACTCATAAAATAAATTGTGAAAAGTGGGTGTTACATTGCACAATGGCATAATGTGCACCTCTGCCTGCTTCAGGGATAAAAGACGTGATGTTATGTGAAGGCTACCTGAATCTAACTTACATGTAAAACTGTTCAAGCGATTGCAGGCTGTAAACTACTGTACTTAAAGTTCTTTTTCTTACATACTTAATCATGTTGTTACAGGGTGTGACAAATAATATCGTCATGGTGGATACAAATGATGACAAGCTGAAAGGAGAGATGATGGACCTGCAGCACGGCTCCGCCTTTTTATGCAACGCCACTATTAAGGCTGGCACAGGTAAGATAACTACAATACAATCTCATTACTTACTTATTTTTGAAAACGTGGACATTAGGATTCTCGCCTGCAGCTGTAGCCAAATGCCATTTAGCCAGGGGCGTAGCTAGTGTCGTATCAGCCGTATCAATTATATGGGTCCCCCAAACCAAGGGGAAAACAAGAATAATAATTGTAAGCAAGAATATAAAAACTTCTCAATTAACACTTCATTTCAGTAATCACAAAATGCATGCCTTCAATGGTTGGTAGAAACCATGGAATAGAGAAAACTATAATGTTTATAGAGAAATCTATTCCATGACAGAAACTTTGGAAAAACTAAAGTAATCATTGTCCGACAATTTGGACAGAGGGAGTTACAATATTGTGTAAAAAATGTTATAATATTATTAAAAAGAAAATGGTTTCTGAGAAATATTTACCTTTCATAAAGGCCCCCAAACAAATTTTTATACGGGGCCCAGCCAAGATACGCTACGCCACTACATTTAGCGCTTGTCCATATGTAGAACAGATAACAAAAATATATGGAATTGACGTAAATTTTGACACTTGTCAGTGTCATCCCCATACATTTAGTTTTCTACTCTCTCTGTCGTCAAGCGCTAAAGTGGCGTTTGGCAAAAGCATAGTATAAAGAACAAAGTAGGTTATCTTCATACAAATGCTCCGCGCGCGGCTTATATGTGTGCGCCATAGTATCTATGCGTCGACGCACGCACACATTAACAAAATCTCGACCCGTTTCTCAGTGCGCCAGGCAGGGCTGACACTGTACGAGGTTCGCGCGCGCTTCACGGCTTTTCGGCACTGTTCAATGAAATAAAAAATGTCTGATAATCGTAGAAGAACGTATTGCTGTGTGTTTGGGTGTCTTAATAATTAATCGATTCCAGAACTGTCTCTGTTCAGATTAGGTACCTATTGAACAGGAAAGGTAAGCTAGTCACTTTTTCTAGCATAATATAATTTGTAGGTACTTGATGATGAGATACCTACTTACTTATTCTTACTCTTATCATTCTTCATAGTTCCTACTCAACCAGAAATGTAATTACCTACTATACTTAAATATTATAAGAAAATGTGGTATTGTATTGTTTATTTCACAGTTTATCTGATTTGTTAAGAGCGTAGCCGAGTCGCATTTTTCCATATAAATGTATTCCCAAATTTACTTTCTGAATACTATGTATAGAGCTAAAGTTTATTTTAAGAAGTTAATAATCTTTTTATAAGCTTTTAATTTTTACTAAATTTATAAATTGATAAAATATTCAATCATAATATGCTTTTCATTTCATAAATTTAGATCAAGTGCTGCTTGTTCGAAAATATTAACTAAAAGTAAAAGTGACAACCCTGGGGATCAACGCAAGAGTAGGCTAATAACTCGGCGGGCGGCCTTAGATAACCTACTGTGTTCTTTATACTATGGCAAAAGGCCCTGATTCGTGGTTGCTTCAAATATTCATAATCTAAAGATAAATCAAATTGTTGTGTCTGTTTGTAATATTGACATGACCACTTTTTACTACATGCATTTGAATGTATATATAATAGGTATAGGTACCAAACTAACACTTTTTACATTTTTGTTTCTGTCTGTCTGTTTTTACTGGCTTATCTCGGAAATGGCTGGACTGATTTTGACGGCACTTTTATTGACAGATAGCTAATCAAATAAACAGGTAGGTACAAAGGAGTAACATAGGGTACTTTTATTTTGGAAAAACGCAGATGGAGTTGCTAGATCAGGTTCATACATACATAATATCAAATTCAGACTCGGAACAACTATCTTATGCTACCATAGATACATGACAAGATATAGGTATGCAAAAATAATACTTACATAGGTACTAATTGGAGTTATATTTGCCTATCCTAATGGAAAGCATACATGTGGATATGCGGAATAATAAATATGAATTAACTAAATGCATATTTATGAAAGAAAGAAAGAAAGAAAGAAAGAAAAACATTTATTCGACACATTGCATGCACAGATATGTGTACTATATGTGTACACCTGTGCACGTAGCTCTCCCTAGGGGTATGCCATAGCACAAAAGGCGTTGCGCAGTGTGAACTCCATAGCTAATCTATTCAGAGGATCCAGTGCTTTTTAACAACTTAACTGTCCCTATACAATCACCCCACGTCCATTGTTATTTTAAAGGTCAGTTTTTTGCTACACGTCCATGTGGTTTTTACTAGAATTTGGTGCCACGCTCATTTCAAATATACACCCCGAACTTGTACCAAACAAAAAATACATACAGTCGAATTTAGAACCTCCTCCTTTTTTTGAAGTCGGTTGATGAGACGCCTATGGTTCATGACTCCTTGGACAGTTAAGTCGTAGGTACTGTGACCAGTGGGTTGAGGTTTCGCTCCAAAAACACGAAAATAACATTCAATTATGTCCTATTACCTTCTAACTGACTACGTACGCGCAATCCCGTTTTTCCCGTTTCGTTTTTGTGATTTTTGGTAAAAAGTAAAAAAAAAATTGGATAAAAATTATCCTATATCCGCCTCCTTGTTCTAACCTTCCCCGCTAATTTTCATCCAAATCGATTTAGCCGTTTCTGGGTTAGAAATAGTGTAACTAACACAACACGACTCTTTTATAGTTATATATTAGATTTACCCTTAATTAAACTGCGTATCGTACGTTAATTCATAAGCAAAACGCAGAAATGTGCCCTGAAGCGTTATGCGTGGACAGTAGCACAGTTTCCGTGCAAGAATCGAACCAGTGACGCGGAGCGACTGGCCAATTGTACCAGTGGGGCAACCGCCATTATTGTTATGTGGCAACGTAATTTTGCAATCGTAGGTACATATGAATACAGTTATGGAATGTCTTCGCACTAGCCCTTAATGACGACGCTATCGAACATAAATTATCCTTGAAAGGCTTCAGCCAGTTATTAGTTCATCATTTCGATATCAACAGCTGTTATAGCAACAATAGTTGTTAAGGTGGTCTTTTTAAAAAAGGACCTTGTTAATATGATATAGCCGTCCAAGAGAAAATTATATGTGTTAAACGTTGCCCCACACTAGTATTTTCGTGGTTGCGTTTAAAAACATACGATTTAATATACACATGACACCCAGCATTTAAGTATGGCCAATCGTCCCGCCCATCCCCAATTCACAATCTAGGAATTTCCAAAAGAATAGCAACGCACTTGTAAAACCTCTGGAGTTGGGTCGCCGCCAATTTGCTTACCATCAGGTGACCCGTCTGCTCATTTACCGGCCATATTCCATAAAAGAATCACATTATTACGAACTCGATACGATTTACATAATGAAATTAGATAGAATACTGGATAGCAGTGAATCCGAAACGTTAAAAATCTGAATTATCTAACATAACATAACATCACGCCTTTTTATCCTCGAAGGGGTAGGCAGAGGTGCACATTACGGCACTTAATGCTACTGTACAATGTAACACCCACTTTTCACTATTTATGTTATGAGTCCCATGTAATAGGGGGTGAGCTTATTGCCATATACCGGGCACAATTCCAGACTCCGTGCTACTACTGAGATTTTTAAAAACCCAGTAATACTTTGCCCGACCCGGGAATCGAACCCGAGACCCCTTGCCCGGCAGTCGCACTTGCGACCACTCGGCCAACGAGGCAGTCAATTATCTAACTAATAGTATAAATGCGAAAGTTTGTGCGAATGTACATATGTGTGTATGTATGTTACTCTTTCACGTCAAAACGACTGAAGACATCGGGATGAAATTTGGAACAAGGATAGATTAAGGCCTGGAATATATCATAGGCTAATTTTAATCCCACGGGAACGCTACTTAAACTGTCAAACACCGCGAGGACACCGGTGACTGCAACCTATTGTTCTTTAATTGTGTCTATAATGGTACTCAAAGCGCGGGCCTGCGGACGGACGGCAAGCATGGGTGGCTCCCCGTCCGACCAGAAACAGACCCGAGCGTACGGCGCGTCGCGTTCCGCGCGCGCCTCAAAGAGCTATCAGACCACCACAGATGGGGCCCAATAGGGCCGATGCCGATTCGGAGTCGCGGAGAACCTAACGGGTAACCGGGGCTCCGGCTCGACGTGCAGGAGAAGGAACGGGGTGGTTTTTAGTCAGTAAGAGTCTGACACTCCCTTACAAAAAAAAGGGTTTAAATATAATTTAATAATAAGTTATTTCGACAGACTACTCGATCACGGCGGACTCGCAGATCTGTGTGATAGCAGCCGGTGTGAGACAGATGGAAGGAGAGGACAGGCGCAACCTGGTGCAGAGGAACGTGGAAGTCCTCAAAGGAATTGTTCCTCAAGTAAGTATATACTCACAGGCAACTCTCGCTGATTTGAACAAAATTAATTACACTAGTTTGGATAGTCAAAAGACGATTTGAAAACTCTGTTGTGTCTATGTGCTTTGCCAGCATGTGGCGGTTTATACCATCCTATTAAAATACATTTATTTTAATTTTGTATGTCGTGGTGGTTCGGAGGTTTAAGACGCTGGCTTCTCATACATGAGAATGCGGGTTCGAAACCTACCAACGGCAAGTACCAATGTGACTTTTTCCGAGTTATATGTAACTTCTAAGATTATTTAGACACCACTGACAAACGGTGAAGGAAAACATCGTGAGGAAACCTGGGCTTATAATTTCTAATTATAAGTTTGGAACCGCCAACCCCCATTGACCAAGCGTGGTGATTAATTCTCAAAACTTAGAAGAGGCTTTGCTCAGCAATGGGCATTTATAGGCTGTTGATGATTAAAACACATAATAAATAAAAACACAATTAAAATATCTTGTATACTTGTAAAAAAGTCAGAAATACACTACTTTACACACAAAATTAGTTACTCTTCTAAGTTATTAGCTGTAAATAGAACTAGAACACTTTTATGCCCTGTGTTAGGAGAAGGCTATAAGTCTCAATACCTATAACATAAGACGATCCTATTTATCAGACACCTTCAACAGTACTTCACTCCAAATAAACACTTAGAATTCAAAAGATACACACTGACAAATGATTACATGTTTTTTCCTAACATTCCTTACATTTTTTCCTTCACAGCTACTGAAATACAGTCCGAACACGATCTTCTTGATCACCAGCAACCCAGTGGATGTCCTGACTTACGTGACCTGGAAGATCAGTGGCCTGCCCAAGCACCGTGTGATCGGCTCGGGAACAAACCTCGACTCCGCAAGGTTCCGCTACCTGCTCTCGCAGAAACTGAGCATAGCGCCTACATCCTGCCATGCGTATATTATTGGGGAGCACGGTGACAGTAGCGGTATGTACCTTCGCCTAATACATATCCTTAAAACAAATAGAACTCACTTTTCACAAGTTATTTGAGTCATGTTATGAGTCCCATGTATTTGGGAGTGTGAAGCTGTTCCTAGATTCTGAACTATTGTAGTGTGTATGTATGTATACATGTCCATTGCTAGATCTAAGTGTGTAATTCATATATATCGGATTGTATCCAATATTTAGAGGAGTATTAAATGTAACTTCAAACAATAAAGTTGTTTCTCTAATCTCCCCGATGCACCACCTTACATGGCGACCCTGCCAATTAAGGCGGCCGACTCGGGTTCCGTCGCGCGTTCGCGTATAAATTACGTACCTAAATAAATTAAAATAATTATATACAAATACAAAGTGGTCAAACTCGAAATGTGCCGAGCAAAAGTCGAAAAGGAAGAAGTCTTTATAACACAAAATGCTGCCGGAGGATCTAACTCAGCGAAGATTCAAGAATACCACCTTTCAAACATTAGCATAGTGCTAATTGTAATGTGCACTATGATTGGAATTGCTGGTTTATATGCAGTCTATAGATTGTATAGAAACTGTCACCATACTTGGATTAGAAACGAATTTTTGACACAACAATTGATGCGGTCTTTTCGGCGACCAGAGGGACGAGTTGTGTACGAAGGACACCAGCGCCAAGTGATGCAGAGCTGCGAGCACCGTCAGCAACCATATCGACAGGAGCCAGTGATGAAGCGTGAAATGTGAAAAAAAAAGTGTATTGAGTTAAAGTTTCCTAACCTATTGACTATAACGTACTAAATGCCATAATTTTATGTAGATTTAATTTTAGCACTTTATGGACTTATAATTGCATAGACTAGTTTGAGGTGTAGAGATAAATTTAGCGTAATTCAAATATGTTGTAATTTGCCTAAGGTTTAAGGATTGTGTCAATATGTTATGGCCACGGAGCTAAAAACTGTTTATGATAAGTTAAAGAGTATAAAAACTAATTTAGTTAAATCTAATTATTCTCGAAGGACCAAAGTATATTTGCAACAAAAGTTAAATGAGGCCACGCAATTACGGAGACAATTTGATGGCTGTATGCTTATTTTGTCTCAGCAAATAGAGCGGAAACAATTGAAAAGTCCGGTTTTGGTAGAAATACAGGCATATTGTGATTTGATTAGACAAATTTATATTGAAATAGAAGGCATATGTTCTAAGGAGTACTGCTCCCCTTCTCATAGTATTGTTGAAGGTATCGACAGTGAATCTATCGACATGGCTAGTTTCGATTTTAAGATAGCTACGTCTCTCTTGCCGGTTATGACGGGTGATGAGAATATCACTAAGGACCTAATCGATGCTATAGAATTGTATAGTTCCACACTTAATGACCAAGGTAACAACATGCTTATAAAATTTATATTAAAAACGCGCTTAAATCAAAGTGCAAAACTAAGGTTATCAAGTACCTATGAAACATGTGACGCGCTACTGGCAGACATGCGTCTGCAATTATTAAGTAAAAAATCAAGCACTTCTATTCATAAGGAAATGCTAGAATTGAAACAAAATGGCATGTCCTTGGATAATTATGGCCGTAAAATAGAACAATTATTCGTAGATTTAACGATTTCCCAAGCCGACGGTGACCAAAATGCGTATACAGTTTTACGTCCATTAAATGAAAAGATTGCAGTTAGAAGTTTCAACGACGGCCTACGAAATCGACAGCTAAGCACTATACTATCCGCACGTAATTATACCAGTCTAAAAGATACTATTAGGGCGGCTAAGGATGAAGAGGCATCAAGTAGTCAACAGAATCCGGAACCGTCTGTGTATTTCGGAAATAGAGGAAAATTCAATAATAATAGATATTTTCGAAACAACAACAGAGGTAATTTTTCAGGACGGTTTGGACAATCTAATCACCAGTGGGCGCGGGGTAGTTTACATACAACTTATGCTAATCGCCAACCTCGTGGTCAAATTTCAGGAACATATCCACAACGTGGTGGAGGTTATTCTAGACGTGGACAAAGTGGATTCCATGGTGGTAAGCATAACCGAAATTTCACTCGCTCTAACAATAGTATGCATTTTATGAATAATACGGTAGATAACACGACATCGGACGATCGGTTATTACCAAACTCTAAGAACAATGGAAACGAACTTTTGCAGTTTTTTCGATAACAATTTCGTATTAGCTTGTGAGTATAATAGTTCGGTGGAATGTTCAATACAAGATGCCAAATATAGTTTGCTTATAGATTCCGGAGCATCTTTGTCGGTATTAAAACATGAAACGGTGAAGCATTGGAATATTCCAATGCACACCGAATGCATTTCCATAAATGGTATTGGAGGCAAAGTACAAACCGTGGGGTATGTTTTTATTACGCTCAACATAAATGGAAATGAATTTATACACAAATTTTATGTTATGAAATTCTTACCATGTATGCAACACGGTATAATTGGTCGAGATTTTATGAGAAGATACAAAGCTATTTTAAATTTTGAAAATAATACCTTGATACTAAGTAATAATAACAATACTGTTACATCTACTATGACTAATGGTACATTAGGTACGACAAATTTTCTAAGTATTCCACCGAGGTGTGAAAAAATATTTCAAATAGACTGTTCTTTTAAAAATGAATGTGTAGTGATACCTGATGAATTAGGAAAAGGAGTTTTCTTAGCTGGAAGTATATGTAAACCGGTTAACGGGAAAATAAATATACAAATACTAAATACTCGGTTAACAACAGTAAATTTAAATTATTTTAGGCCAGAAATACACAAATTATCAGAATATGAAATATTAAATTTTGAAAGAAACAATAATATTGATGGAGATAGAGTACGCACTATGTTTGCACATTTGAATTTAAGTCATTTAAATGAAGAGGAAAGCAAATCGATCCAAAATATTTGTGCAAAATTTTCAGATGTTTTTCATTTACCCAATGATAAATTAACAACTACGAATCTTTTCGATCAAACTATCCAGCTAAAGACGAATGCAGATCCAGTTTATGTTAAACAATATAGACTACCATTTTCACAACGTGTTGAAGTTGAAAAGCAAATTAAAACAATGCTGTCAGATGGTATTATAGAACCTTCAAAAAGTGAATGGTCTAGTCCCATTTTACTAGTACCTAAAAAGTCTAATGATGAAACAAAAAAATGGAGATTAGTGATTGACTTTCGTAAATTAAATGACAGGATATTAGATGATAAATTCCCACTACCTAATATTACAGATATTCTGGATTCATTATCCGGTGCAATGTATTTTTCTCAATTAGACTTATCTCAAGCTTATTATCAGTCAAATTTAAGTCCCGAATCTAGAAAATATACAGCATTCACTACTCCGTCGGGGCAGTATCAAATGACGCGTCTTCCGATGGGTTTAAAAATTAGCCCAAGTGCTTTCTCTCGTCTGATGACAGTTGCGTTGTCAGGGCTCACCTACGAAAAGTTATTCATTTACCTAGATAATTTAATTTGTTTTGGTCGCAACCTTGAGAGTCACAATAAAAATCTGATAGATATTTTAACTAGGTTACGTGAAGTTAATTTAAAATTGAATCCGGAGAAATGCGATTTCTTACGGAAGGAAATGCAATTTCTAGGTCATATTATTTCTACGGAAGGTATAAAACCAGACCCTGAAAAAATTAATGTCGTTAAAAATTACCCCATACCAAGAAATGTTGATGAAACAAAAAGATTTGTAGCTTTTACTAACTTTTACAGAAAATTTATACCTAACTTCGCAGAAATATCATTACCTTTAAACAAGCTTTGCCGCAAAAATGTTCATTTTGTTTGGTCCCATGAGTGTCAAGAATCCTTTTCTAAGTTAAAGAATGCATTAATATCTCCACCAATATTACAATATCCAAATTTAGAAGAAAGTAATAGGTTTATTTTGCAAACTGATGCCTCTGGTTATGCAATTGGATCGGTATTATGTAATAGCGATAATAGACCGGTAGCGTTTGCGAGTAGGAGTTTAAATAAAGCTGAAATTCGATACCCTACTATTGAGAAAGAGCTACTAGCTATTGTATGGTCTGTAAAATATTTTAAACCTTATCTTTATGGACGAAAGTTTATAATCAAAACTGACCACAAACCACTAATTTATTTATTCAACATGACAAACCCATCAAGTCGTCTCACGAAATTTCGATTATTATTGGAAGAGTACGATTATGAGGTTGAATATGTTCGAGGAAGAGACAATGCAGCTGCAGATGCATTGTCGCGTATTCGAATATCGAGTGAGGACTTAAAAGGGATGAATGAACATGTTATGTCAGTATTAACTAGGGCTCAGAAAAAACGACTGAACGAAAATATACAAAATGTGTCTGATAATCCTATGGTTGATAAGGTAGACACCGACAATTGGACTGATCATCCAAGAGTTGTGGATATTCTTAAAAAACCAGAGGATTGTACAGAATTAATATTTGTAGATGAAAGAGAATGGAATAAAATCGACAATATGTCAATGGAAATGTCAGCAAAATTCGCTTATTCTTCATCTAAGTCCGCTGTTTACGTAAACCCTTCTTTCCGATCATATTGCGCACGAGATGCCTTTGTGAGGGAGTTGTGTAACTTATGCAAACGGATAGGAATACATAAAATTTATCTTATTAAAAATGCTAGTAATGAGAAACTAGTAGACGAGTTAACTCGGTTTATAAGAGACACCCCAGCGTGGTCCGGACCACAATTATATATTTTAAAGGGGGTCCAACGAATAAGCGATCACGATACAAAGCGTGTTATACTAAATGACTATCATATGTTACCGACGAGTGGCCACGCCGGTATCAGGCGAATGATAAATAATATTAAAAAACGTTACTTTTGGCCAGGACTAGAGAAAGACGTAACCGAATTTGTAAGTCGTTGTGACAAGTGTTTACGTCAAAAACATTTTAATAAGTACATTAAGCAGCCGATGGTGATAACGGATACAGGACGTTGCACTTTCGACAGAATTTATTTAGATTTAGTAGGGCCCTTATGTAAGGATAGCGATAGTTATATGTATATTCTCACACTTCAGTGTGACCTTAGTAAGTATGTTGAAGCGTATCCGCTTAGAAATAAGGATACTATTTCAGTAGCAAGAGCGTTTGTAAATAATTTTATCTTGCGTTACGGAATGCCTAAGCAAGTTATATCAGATAGAGGCACAGAGTTCGTGTCAACAGTAATGAGGGAAGTGTGTAATCTGCTTCAAATTTCACAGTTGACATCAACATCTTACCATCATCAGTCAATAGGAAGTTTAGAAAACACACATAAACATTTAATGTCTTTCCTTCGTATTCAAACAGATAATGACCCTTATAATTGGAGCACGTGGTTACCATACTGGTGTTTTGCCTTTAACACTACAGTGCACTCCGAAACTAAGTATACTCCATATGAGTTAGTTTTTGGCAGACTTTGTAAATTACCGAGCAATTTAACATCAAATCTAGAACCATTATATAATCATTATGATTACCCTAAAGAATTGAAGTACAGACTACAAAAATCACAACACGACGCAAGACAAAATTTAGTTACAAAAAAAGAAATTAGAAAAATTAAGTATGACTGCAATACGAACCCTATAAATTATAAAACTGGCGATATGATATTACTAAAAAACGAGCAGCGTATGAGCAAATTTGATCAGCTTTATGTAGGTCCTTTTAAAGTGTTAGAAGATTGTGAACCAAATTTAAAAATAGATTATAAAGGAAAACAATTGTTAGTTCATAAGAATAGAACAAGGCCATATAAAAGGTAATTTCATTAAAAAAAAAAAAAAAAAAAAAAAAAAAAAAACGGTGGGCGTGTAGTGTGTATGTATGTATACATGTCCATTGCTAGATCTAAGTGTGTAATTCATATATATCGGATTGTATCCAATATTTAGAGGAGTATTAAATGTAACTTCAAACAATAAAGTTGTTTCTCTAATCTCCCCGATGCACCACCTTACACTATTACTGAAACCGATAATTCCCTAATAATTCTTTGCGCATCCCTCCTTGGTTACATTTTGTGACGAACCTATCAGCGATACCTCCGCCATGACCATTTTATATGTAGTATATTACCTACTACATACCTACTCGTAATATGGTCATGGAAACGTATTTCAAGATAAATGCATCCTTCTTCAATGTACCAATGGGGGGGCTCCAGACCCCCAGGTTCAGTTAATAAAAAAGCTACAACACGCATTTATACCAATCAGAATTTACAAACAGCACAGGGGAAATCTTAATAAAGCGGATTTCTATTTTCTCTCGTCCCTCACAGTACGTCGTATTATTTACTGAGCACCTCTGTTCTTCCATAAATAATCTAGTAGGTAAGCATAACTGCAAAGCCATTATAAATATTGCCAGCAGTAAATTAATCAATATTCTTCCCACAGTACCGGTCTGGTCAAGCGTGAACATCGCAGGCGTGCGTCTCCGGGACCTGAACAAGAACATTGGCTTGGACTGTGACGAGGAGAACTGGAAGGAGACACACACCCAGGTGGTGCAGAGTGCGTACGAAGTCATCAAGCTGAAGGGCTACACCTCCTGGGCTATCGGACTGTCCCTCACTCAATTGATTAAAGCTATCCTCACTAACGTAGCCAGTGTTCATGCTGTTACTACTTCTTTAAAGGTAATGTACTAAATTTTACACTCATTGCTACTTACTTTACTGCTGTACTTTTGAATGGGAGAGTCGTGTCAAGTCAAAGTCAAAGTCAAAATCATTTATTTCAATTAGACCAGTAAGGCACTTTTGAACGTCAAAACAAAATATTTAAATATTAAATAATAAGAAAAAATGTCAGTCTGTAGGTCAGTCCTCTAGTGAAGCTATTTGCTCGTTCCAAAGTGTAGATTCCTATGGAGAAGAACGAGCAAGAAACTCCATAGGTTACTCTTTTTCAATCATGTTCACAATACAATTTTTGGTTACATTCTTCCGTTGAGTTGAATAATGTGAGAACAATGTAATACCAATATTTGGTCAAGGAGACGGAAAAAGAAAATAACCTTGAGGACAACAAATTTAATACAGTCTGGAGCTGACCAGTCCCATTTGACAGCGCCCGTTCACGAACATGACACGTACACCAGCACCGCACAACTCGACCATGTTATAGGGAATCGAGCTATCCACTGCCCGTGCCACTGCCAATGAGACTTTTGAGTGAGCATGACAACTCCAAGCTGACACACATGCATTCTACTAGTCTAATGTAATTTAGTTAGTTACAGAGCTCTCACATTTACAATACTTATATAAAGTTTTACAGTGTACATTTGAACAAAATGGCTGTATTTGACATGATTGGAACTCATTGGAACATCAATGTTTTTCGCTATCCTGTGGAGCCGGACCAGCATGCCTCCAAGCATTTTTATCCTCTATGTAATCATTAAGTTTGTAGTATGCTTTCCCACATAACGTTTTTTTAACATATAATTTAAATTTTGACTCATTTAAATGTAGTATTTCCTCCGGAATTTTATTATAGCATTTAACACAGAATCCCATAAAGGACTTTTGTACTTTTGTCAATCTAAATAGTGGCTGACTTAGTCTATCCCTATGTCTAGTTTGATAGTGGTGTCTGTCAGACACTTTACCAAACAACTGTAGGTTCTTCCTAACATACATAATGTTTTCATAAACAAATTGACATGGAACCGTCATAATATTGATCTCCTTAAACTTTTCTCTGAGAGATTCGCGACGACCTAGGTTGTAGATAGCTCTGACGGCGCGCTTTTGTAAGATAAAGATAGACTCAGTGTCCGCAGCGTGTCCCCACAGCAAAATGCCATACGACATGATGCTATGGAAGTAACTGAAGTACACTAGTCTTGCCGTGTCTATGTCGGTTAACTGTCGGATCTTCCAGACAGCATAAGCTGCAGAGCTTAATCGTCCCGCTAGAGATGTAATATGAGGACCCCATTGCAATTTGTCATCTACAGTAATTCCCAGAAATGTAGTCTCTTTTACAAATTCTAATTTCCGACTGTTTAATAATATGTCACATTCCTTACTTCCAACATTTGGCAGAACAAATCTAATACATTTCGTTTTCTTATCGTTTAGCACTAAGTTATTTATTGTAAACCAATGTTGAACCTTCATCAGAGCATTATTTACGTCGTCATAATTATTTGTTCGTCTATTGATTTTAAAAACCAATGATGTGTCATCAGCAAACAATACAATATGTGGTTCATTTTAAAATAAATATGGCAAATCATTTATATATGTTAAAAATAGGAATGGACCTAGTATTGAGCCCTGCGGTACGCCCATAGACACGCTAGCACCCTGTGAGTTTACTTTGTTTACCTGTACTTTAAGTTGCCTATCCTGAAGGTATGACTTTAACAGATTCAGCGATACACCCCGAATGCCGTAGTGTTCCAGCTTCAGCAATAGTGTCTCGTGTTCAACACAGTCGAATGCCTTCGAAAGATCGCAAAATATTCCGATGGCATCCTGTGCCTCTTCCCACGAGGCCGCTTAATTAGTGCTACCCCGGCATCAGTCGTGCAACGTCCCTTGGTGAACCCGTATTGTTGGTCGTGATTGGGCCAGTTCGACTGAAGACCACCAAAGTAACCACGGCCTTTCCTTTTGCTTTATCCCAAATTCTCAAGAGGCCGACAACGCCCTTATATTACCCCTACACACAACTATGATTTGTTTAGTAGTTTTATTAGATACGAAATTCTGAATTCCAATTAATTAAATTATTATTCTATAGGTAGATATTATACACTCTCAATTCGGGCATTGAACCAACCTGAACGTAGGTAAATCGTGGCTTCAAACATTTAAAAAATATGTAATTTATTTCCTGAAATAAATTAATATTTCAAAAAAAATGAATTTTTAAATAACTGCGAATGACCTCATATTACTTCAGATACAGATATCAAAGAATGTTATTTGTTATTTCGACGCAACAATATTTTAAAATTTCGTTTAATTGGCAACTTGCCTAAAGCTGTAAAATGTTTAATATTCAATTTGTTTTCATTTGCCTCGTGACTGCTACGCATGGGGATTCCCGTAATGAGGATGATTCCATCAAATTATACCTATTGTTGTCATAATTTTATAACTTTTATGATAAGCTTGTCAAACAAATTATGTGACTAGAATGTGTGATCATCATTTTTACTGCTCATTAGCATTTTGTTGTGCAGCTAACATAAGTTTCGTATCGACCTCAGCACATGATGTCTCAGTGTCTTATCGAATAGTCGACCTCCATCCAAAATCTCTGGATTGAGACCCATTTTTTGACATTTACTTGTTTACCTACAGTTTCTGTCATAAACTTAGAACGATCCAGAGTTATTGGACGAAGTGTTCAAAAAAACCAATTCATAATCGTATTATTTAGCAAAAAAGTTGTAATCTATTAACGAAAGTTAATATGGTGGTACTCAGAGTTAAGTATTCTCCAAAGATTAAGGCAAGAAATAGTTGCCAGTTTAAGGTATTTTTCTATTTTCCAGGGTGAGCATGGCATCACAGAAGATGTATTCCTGTCGCTGCCGTGTGTGCTCGGCCGCAATGGTATCCTCGATGTCATCCGCCAGCCTCTGACGGACGTAGAGAGAGAGCAATTGTTACAATCTGCTAAAGTCATGGCAGAAGTTCAGTCCAATATCAAGTTCTAAAGCAAGACTTTATAAATAATTTATTTTTATTTATTTATATAATAAACGTTACGTCTCTACCGGCACACCTAAATTAAGATAAATGCAATTTCCAGTAACTAATTTACCAATTTTCTCTAAATTAATTGTAAATAGGTATCTAATCTCAACATACATAAATGCTTAAAAAACTTGAAGAAACCAAAACAAATTAAGTACATCTAATTATAAAACATAAATAACATTGAATAATTAATTATTGAAACTAAAGTATCATATAAAAAAGTAATACAATCAAATAAAGTACAAAATAATAGGAACTTACTTTTTCATGTTAATCAATATTTACTGGTTATTGAAAAATGGAATTCGTAATATTAATTCATTACATGGTAGTAACACTTTTTCATAAAGAATATCATTTAAAAGCATCAAAACTTCAGGTTGGTTAGTACCATAGTGATGTTACCTGTCAGTCTGCAGTTTTCAGATTCCTAACGGTAAATATTACGAAGTGAAATATTATGCAAGTAACATCACTATGGTAACCAACCTGAACATTTAAAATTAAAATCCGACCTCTTAGAATTTTATTATAATAGTAATAGTCGATTTAACTGCATTCTTATGTTATAAAGATCAAGCAGAATACCCAAAACTCTTAATGTTTGTTTTCGATTAAGCCAAGTAATAAAAACAACGACCACTTCATCAAATATGTTTAAGTAACAAAGTTATTCACGTAGTTGATGGCGCGTCCGGTTCTGGTTTTTGCCAAAACGAAATACGTATTCGCGACCTCTTACTTATTTATGGTCTATTATGTGGTTTGTAAATGATTTTATTGATTCTGGGATTTTTTGGGTATCCTCCTATAATGCTTATAAATGGTATTCTTTCTGAAAGTGTATGTAACATAATAATGAATATTACGAATATTCTTATTTTTACGTGGACGTTATAGGAAGTTCATAACAAGTTATAACAGTACATAGTCAGTCAGTAATGTCAGAGTTGACCTCTTATTTAGTGACGACTGTAACAACCTCTAATAAGAGGTGTGATAGAAAAATATTTGCATTTATATATTTTCGATAAATGATAAAAAAAAATAGGATTTTGGACTAAGGTCATAGGCTCCTACACACTACGCTGATGACACAGCGGGTATAGCCTGTGGGAACCGTATGGCAATGAGGGTTATGATTTATGAGTAACTGTAAAAAAAGTTGGCGCCACTGTCAATGAAAGTCGTGACAATCGCCGTAATAAGGTTAAAAAAGTTAAGAATAAAAGGACAGTAGGTAATCCGTAATATAGAAAAGAGATCATAATTTACAGTAGTGTCCTCTAGTGGCATCATAACCCTCATTCAAAAATATTTAACACGTCTTTTTAAATGTGTATTTACTCTTGTCTGCATTTGAAATTATAGATGTCGTGTTGTCTTTGTGTATCAAAATTAAATTAAAATATTTAAGAATTTAATTCAATGTTACATATTTATATTAATAATAGTGAAAAGTACTTATAGATAAATTGTTTGAATACAGTTTCACCTCATTCAAGCCGAAGCAATTACTTAGTTGGTGCTAGATTAGTTTCAATGAATCCAGTATTAATTACTTAATACAAAGATAATTTTAGGAGTTAAAGTTTGTTTAAGACTTGTCGAACCTACTTAAGTACATATTTTTGGTCACAATTTACAAGAAGTATACCTACTTGGATATTTTATGACATATTTATAATTATTATGTGTAAACTTTCATCGATTTGTGTCAATATGATCTTTGACGACAAATTATTTGTAAAATTAAAATTGAATATGTCTTTATTACTTATATTTAATCCTCTTTGGCCTGTGAAGTATAATAAAGTAGTTTTTACTGAATCATAATAATTAAAATTAATGTTTAATAATTTTCTATACCTTACCATGTATTGTATAAGTAATACCTTTCTTACTACCTATTAGGATAATTGGTTTTTTAATATTAATAAATAAATGTTGCTTATTGATGTGAATTTTGCGTTTTAATTGCACCTGTATATTTATTCTTACTTTCTTTCTAGAGTCAATAAATAATTAAAATGATAGCGTTTTTCGGTTGTCGTACACATGGGAATCTCTGAGCATTGAAAAATTGGCCCTCAGAGCCGATTTTTGTAACGCCAGATAAATTTTAACTGAGGAATAACTTTTGAATTTTTGATAATTCTTCCATACTAAAAACTGTCAAATGTCAATTTTATTCTACATATGACAGTTTATTAACTGATGATTGAAAAATCGGCCCTTGGAGAAAAGAATACTCAAAATACATGGATAACCATGGCGACTACAGACATATTGACATGACCTGAGCTGGCCTAATTTTTCAAATAAATATTTTCTCTTCCTTTTTTTCTTAGACTTTGGTGCACCCCATGAAGCCAATACAAAGGTGCACCCATTCAAGAGCATGACGTGTCATGTCACACTTTTAAGAACATGATATGTATACAGGGTATGATGTCAATGATATAGATAGGCAGACAAACTTTAGTCGGGTAAAAATAAAGAATAAAACAACATTTGGTGTATTTTTTTCAAAATTATGTATTACGATTTTATAATATACATCAGCTTTAGACACTATGATATCTAATAATGACACCGCGGGTAGCTGCTTATTGATACGAAGTGGAAATTATACAGGAACATATTATTATAATGCAACACTGACGCAGTACGGGTTAGAAGTTGCCAGCTACAAATAAAATTACGTGAGAGTGGCGATCTTTTTGTTACACAAAACGTTCCTCTCTCACTATTCAATGAGATCCCAACACCTGTCTTTGGTCTGTTCCCTACATATATAGTTATCGGCAAACTTGATGGCCGCTCTAAGGCCCCGGCTGGACTAGAGCGGAACCGCAGCGATTTCTATCCGCGTAATTTGTGTAACAAGAAACTGAGTGCCAAGCACGAATAACTATCGCATTCGTAAAGTAATAGTATCGAGCGCGTTTGGCGCTCTGATTGGCCGGCTCAAGTTAACCAACCAATCAGCTGATTGGCCGGCTCAAGTGAACCAACCAATCAGAACGCTTAACTCGCTCGACACTGTAGCGATACGAATGCGATAGTTATTCGTGCTTGGCCCTCTTGATACAAGCACTTGCGGTTTTCTCGCGCTCGATTTTCAATACAATTCTATGTTACACGATTAACACCGCCGCGGTTATGCTCTAGTGCGACTGGAACCTAACATATGACACTTGGAGTGGCCAATAAGTGCGGCGACAACTACTAAATACTTTGACCCCTGTAGCTCTTACCCAGCAATTTGTGACCCCGTAGTGCGTCAGTGAAGTTTACATTTGTGCGTGAGACAGTGGACAACGCCTCAATAAGGTACTACTCTTTAGAACGAAGCTCATTTTGAACCGAAGCAAACATCCAAGTTCAAATATATAGATCACAGATCTGTAAGGCGTTTTGTTGTAACCACTCCTGGATAACTTGTTTCCCATAACGAGTTCTGTAATTGCAATTAACCAAAATACGAATGGAATATACAAAATACATTTTAATTAGAACATGTAGGTACTTGTATTACCTATATACGTTAATTCAGTGAACGCAGCGCCCCACGTCTATGTCATTTAGTTTAGAATTAATAAGCAGTATACAATATCTTAGTTTTTCCTAATTCCTTTATAATAGTTGTCTCATGTATTCATATTCGACTGACATAAAAGCTTAACATTGTCCAAAGTAATACTTTACTTACGATAACTAAGGTTACGAGTTACATTTGGAAAGGCGTCTGTTGAGCGGCAGAGCGCACGAGCGGCAGTGTAGCGGCGTACATTCCATCGTTACATCTATCGTATTATATATAGTCCTACATAATATCTCACGTATATACTACCCCATGACGCGATACATCACACGTACACGATCAAATAGTTTGCATTTTGGTCACAAATAAAATAAAATAAAATGACGCACTAAAACTTAATTCTATATACAATTCATTAGTGTATAATCAATTTATTATTAATTTAACAAGTACATACGATAAGATTAGGAATAAGCATGAAAAATTCATTTTTAGCATAAATCACAGACACTTTTCTTTAAAATCGGCCACTTTAGGAATATTATAAAATTTATATAGGCCAAGAGTTGTTCGTTGATTAATTTATTGATTTAAAATAATGTCGGTAACCGGTCGAGTGGTGACGCGGCACCAGATTGGTTTGCTGAAGTTACCGATAGCAATGTTTAAAATCAGCAAACAAGTCGCGAATAAAATCCAAATAACTAAAATACCAAACTCAATAGGTGGGCACATTGACTATAGAACAATTACAGTAAACTACAGCTTAAGAAATTATAACATATTCCTATTGAGTGATTATTGAATAAGATCTACTTTTGGCTAGCGCCTTTGTTCCTTAATTACTTGCACATAAATGTTGGCTACAAGAAGTATGGATATTTAGTGAGACATTGGTCGCGCCAATGTTTCGGTGTCGCTTCAAATTTAATATCAGTTCGAGAAGCGACGCTTCACTTGGTCAGGTTACGAGACGTCGATGCATGCATACGGTGACATGATAGTCAAGTTATAGAATGTTTTGAAAGACTGTGATTAACACAATCTCCTAATGAGAGGTTGGTATGGGTAGGCAATGTATGCATCGACATGTATCGGCGAGCTAGTGTTAGTTGCGCGCGCGCTCTACTGCGCCGACGCATGTTCCTCGCGTCAGGTGTCATTGGGGGAGCGCAGGGAGTGCAACACGTTCCCGTGTCCCGCGGGACGCCGTCGGTCCAGGAACGTCTTCAATTGCGTCGCTGATAATGCTGTGGTGGGAGCCTGAAAATTAAAATTAGGTTCAGTATAAAATAGTGTATAATTCATTTCTCAAAGCAAACTCAGTTGGCTGTCATGTGTCACGCAATTAGTTGTAATGTCCGGAATTGTTTTAGACGGGACACGGCGCTTGTGTAAAGTAAACGTGCACGTCGATGTACATTCCTATATATTACAACATAGCGGCGTGTGCGTGTCAAGCATGGGCTTACGTCTGTCCAAACCTTAAAGAAGATTTTACTTCATGTTACTTAGAATAAAGATTGAATATAGGTTTGTATGTATACTGACCTCGTCAAACCATGAGTCTTGCAGCGCGTCTCGTGGCGTGAGTCGCCTGGCGGGTGCCGGCTCGAGCAGGCCACGGATCATGTGCTGAGCGCGCTCGGCTACCTCGGCCCAGTGTTCCGGCGGGAAGCAGTAGTCGCACTTTATTATATTCGCCGTCGTCTCCTCTATCGACTCATCCAGGAACGGCGACAACTATTGACAAAAGGTATGATTGAATGGAATATTGTTTTCACTGCAATACACGGTGATCTACATAGTCCAGCAGTGGACTGTCGACTTGTTGATCAGGGTGGCCAGAAAATTATCGATTAACAGAAATAAAGCTATATCTCAATTTTTGGTATGTGACATTTATGTGTCAATAAGACACCCTTATCTCCATGGCTTCGTTGATATGTTTAGAGATTTATATGATATTTTAATAGTTATAATTACCCCTGTGAGGAACACGTAGAGGAACACGCCGGCGGCCCAGGCATCCCAGGCGGGTGCAGGCGGCCGGCCCAGCACGCACTCTGGCGGAGCGAACTCCAGCTGCGCAGGCGCCGGTGGGAGCACCTCGCGACCAGTGTTACCCGACCCGCCCTCCCCTGTCTCTACTGCGGAGCCCAGGTCCACCAGCTTCAGTTGAGGCACCGACCCACCCAACTCCACCAGCACGTTCTCAGGCTGAAATTTTTGATTTTTCAATTATGGTTTGGTACTATAGTCTTAATTGCCGTATTTAGGTATTGTGCCATCATTTATTTTTTCCTCTTAGCCACTTGTCAAATAAATGTTGAGGGGTATTTAGATGAAACGACTATCATCTACTATTTACAGCCATCTGATGACCATCTTGATTAAGTTAATATTGATTTTTGAAGATCCTGAGCGTCGTAGCAATGTCATATTCTATATAACGTGCATGATTACTGCTATAAATTTCAATGTAAACTTACCCTGACATCAAGATGTGCGACGTTGATGGTATGTAGCCAGTCGAGCGCAGACAGTAGTTGTTTAGTGTGGTGCGCGACCATGTGTTGCGTGTAGAGGTGCGGCGAGGAGGCGGCCCAGTCCAACAGTGGGCCCCCGCTCACCATCTCCAGCACTAGAGTGTGGGCGCCCGCGCGAGGCACCTCGGGGAACAACGCCATCGCGCGCACCACCGCGCCGTGCGCAGTGCGGGACAGGATGCGGTACTCCCGCATCGCGTCCGCACCGCGGCCCGCTAATACCTGAGGATTTTACAGTAACCGTAAGTCTCGAGTGTCGGTAACAAACTGATGTAATTTAAAACAATGATTCGAAGTTCTAACCTGTTTTAATGCTACTCGTTGTCCGGTGCCGGTGTCCCTGGCAGCGAGTACGCGCGCGGTCCGGCCGCGGCCGATCTCCTCCTCCACGCTGTAGCGGCGCGCGAACTGCTCGCGCTGCCACGCGCCGCCGCCGCCGCACGCCGCGGGGCCCGACGCAGGCCCGGGCGCACCACTCCGCGTGCAGATCAGTCGGAAGCTGTACTGTCCCGCAGGCAACTCTTCTAGCGCCAGCGTATTGGCCGCCGCTGGGGTTTCAGTAGCTCGTCGCCACTCTCCCTCCCCTACGCGGCAGTACTCGAGATGTGCAGGAGTCGTCTCGTCCCACTGTATGACCAGGCCCCCACCAGGGTGCGCACGCACTGCTGGTACTCCCGGCGCCCCACCTGCTCCCACCGTCAGTCGCGCGGAGCTTTGCACTCCTCCCAACTCGTTACTGACAAGACAGCAATACACACCAGCGTCTGACGCGCGACAAGCGTGTATTGACAATGTTGCGAAACCGTCTGGAGTCATTGATATAGCAAAGCGGCCACCGTGACGTAGTGCATGAGTCTCAGGTGCAGTCTTGCGCCAAGATGCAGTGGCGCGAGTGGCGACAGCTCGGCAGGAGATGGTGGCGGTGGCGCCTGGAGTGACCATCACGTCGGACGCGGGCTCGGACAGCTCGGGCGCGCGCAGCTCGGTGACCACTCCCTCGGCACCGGGCTCCCCGGCCCCACTGCTGGCGGTGGTGCTAGCGCTCGCGCCGCGTCGCAACTTGAGTCCCCACGGCCGCTTCGACAAGCCCTACCATACGCAGACAGTGAAGACACAGTGCCGACGGGGAAGCGGCCCTCTACGTCACAAGCGACACATGCATGCTCACCCGCGCTCCACACCGTCGGCATCGTCCGATACATTCGTTACATCTACTATTTACATCAATAAATTAAAACTTAAAAGTCAACGGCGGTTATTCCAAATCACTTAGCACATAACTAGTTGCGCGTCAGTCAAACGGCCCGCTATCACAGTCTATGTTAGAAATGCATTCCCGTGTATATCATACCTACAACAAAAGAAATATAGACAAGCGTTAAAATAACACATGCAACAAAGAAGAACAAGCGCCCAAAAATAATAAATATAAATAAATATGAAAAGAGATAACAAACAATTTATAATATATTACAATAATTGTGCATATGCACTTAAAGCTCATAAATAAACAGTAGAACCACTAGATAGTGCAGATATGTACCATGTGAAGTAAACAATCTAATTCTTAAGACACATTCCTTTTTTATAAATATTTTCATAGCCCAATGACCGTCTAAACGTATTGACTTAAAAAAAACAACACTGAAGGGAAGCAAGGAAAAGAGAGAAAGATTAATTATATAGATTGCATAATAAAGAGTAATAACTTAATAACAAGCGTATGTAGCGTGCTGTGACATTAGTATTGGAACACACAAAAGAAAGCAAATAATAATAACCCTGTCTAGCGATAAACACTATCTAAATGCCTACGAGATTGTTTTAAATAAAAATCTAAATACATGTACATAGTGCTGATCATGAGTATGTATAAACTACTTATCTAAAAAATGTATTACATTATATTTAATTATAATTAAGATAACGCTTGTCATTATAGGGACGTTGGAAATATTGCAGCTATTCTGTGCTAATTGTTACAGCTACATTTGTCTAGGCGATTTGCGGATGTATGACCAATACCGGCCTTTTCTAGCAACTTTATATACTTAGGATATAGTTGATTATAAATATGTATAACAATTAATGATTTACCACTGATTGTTTCTTAGAAAGGATAAATAACTAACAGTTAGCTAGTAATGGGATTCAGTAGGAAGCCTTATACCTCATTGTTTTTATTTTTTTAATTTATTAAATTTAATTTATAAATTAAGGTCTAGTAGATTATAGGACAATCAAGGAACCATTTATGTTATTGTCTAATGCCCGAATATTGTAAGGCTACTCAAATTTAACTTGTGCCATCTCTGTCGTGTTACAATGAATTTGTAGTGACAGAACTATACCTGTTGAAAATCATCCTCTAAATTTATTCATACAAAAGTAGTCTCTAAACATTGGAAATAAGGTCCATAATGTAGTTAGTGGAGAGCGGTCACTGGTGACCGCTTGGGGATAAATGGGTGCGCGACTTATTTACTGGTGGTTGAGTATTTAGACATAAATCTGACACATTACGAGCGTACGTATTCCATTAGTTTAAACGCCATTTGACTAGACGGCAGAAACTTAACCTTGCTTAGGACTCAGTAGTTCAGTAGACGGTTCAAGACATATCCTGTGTTTCCATCAGTAGCATTCCATTTTAATTAATTTTGCCTTCGAAATTACTTACTACACTTATCATACTTACCTAATTATATAATTTTGATATAGGTAACGACCTATTCCAATCAATTTATGTAGTTTAAAGATGAATGAGGATTATATGGTTGGCGAATACAGATTCCAACAAAATAGTAAAAACTGAGATAATAAACACAAAGTTTATTCTATCACAATTTTAGTAGTATCGTTGGGAGAGTACGTACCATGCCAGTCTTCTTGGCAGTACCAAGGAGAGTTGTGCCACTGGCAACAAATAGTTTTTGTAGCCTACCTATCTTATATGTTTGTAGGCATCTCAATTTGTTTACATCCTTGAGAGAACAGCTCACTTTTCAGTAACCAAGATACACGAATTAAAGTAATCTTTTTCTCTATTTAATGCGGGTCACTACCCGCTCTGGCTTCGCACGGGGGCAATATGCATGAATCATACATATAAAACTTCTTAAGAATCACTCTTTCTATCAAACTGTCAAACACCGCGAGGACACCGGTGACCGCAACTTATTGTTCTTTAATTGTGTCTATAATGGCGGTAAACAAAGGGTTAAAAAAATCGCATCTTATTCCTTTGCGTAGTTTAAAGGTCTAAGCATACATAGGGATTGACAGACGGCGGATAGCGTTTTACACTATGTAGTGAAGCAGTCAAGTTTGAGAGACAGAATCTCGGTTAAGTGTGCTCATCAGACATGCGTACTATGTACCCAAATACTGAACCGCCACTGAATTTGAAGTCGTCGTTGAAATATAGTTCTGCCATTAAAAATAGTTTGTAAAATGACAGAGATGATATGATATTTAAGTACAACTTAAAATTGAGTCATCATCATCATCAACAGCCTTTAAGTGCCCACTGCTCAGCAAAGCCTCTTCTCACACGGAGAAGGTTTGGGCATTAATCACCACGCTTGCTCAATGCGGGTTGGCGATTACAAACTTATAATTAGAAATTATAAGCCCAGGTTTCCTCACGATGTTTTCCTTCACCGTTTGTCAGTGGTGTCTGAATAATCTTAGAAAGTACATATAACTCGGAAAAAGTCACATTGGTACTTACCGTTGGGTAGTCTATCTGTATTCGGGCTATAGCCATAATATATCATTATGCTAACCTTTGTGTTGTGTATTATCCCCAGCACTAACTAAGCAAGTACCAGTTAAGCGTAATCAGGCTTTTTTTATTTTAGTAAGTTTTGTAATTAGTATAATGCGTCAAGCGAGTCTTTGCATTTTCTCACATATACGTATAGTACGTATATTGGAATATTAATCAGAGACATTGTTGAACACACTTATTTAAAAAGAGTAACGTATGTAGTTTCTTGCTCATTCTTCTCCATTCGAATCTACATTTTGGAATGAGCACCTAGCTTCACTGACGGACTGACTGACAGACTATTATTTATTTTATATTTGTTGACGTTTCAAAAGTACCAAATTATTTAATTGAAATAAATGCTTTGACTTTGGCATTTGACAGGTGTTCAACCGTGGTGTAGATGATTGATCTAATTAACGATAGTTCATCTAACTGATTTGTACTAATCATGTCTAAACTTCATGATAATATGCGTTTTAGGCGTAGAATAGCTTGTTTTACGTTTATCGAGAATGAAATGAGACCGCATTCGGCTCTCTGATTGGCTGGTTGATAAGAGCCGGCCAATCAGAACGCCGGAACTTGTACTAAGCCCTCTTAGTAATTCTTACCTTTTATAATTTCGACTGAAATTCTCAATATAAATCGTGGGCTAGTATAGTCTCGACTACAGGTTAATTTAGTTTGTATTAAAATTACAATTTTATGGCAGTTGTACTGTTTGAATAAACACATTGTTACACCAATCTTATCTTGTACTCAGTATAATAAGCTGTTTTGCAAAATGTCTAGTTGTTGATTGAGAGATAAATCTGACTTTTCTATCATAGATTGATTGCGCAATTACTGATATAGAATAGTAGGAAATGTAGCAAGTACCAAGTATACGTATCAAGCTGTTTTTGTAGATATTTCTTTAACAAATCAATAAATACTTTTGAAGGTACACGTCTTTGCTATCCATTTTGGTATAAAGGACGGTAGAGTTAATTATGTTCTTAATACATCTATTTAAGCCATCATTCAGTTTCGATGATATCGTCTCTCTGTTGTTTGAAATTAGGACATAATGCATACATTATGTCCGTATATACAACACTATATTGCTACTTACATATACATATATCGTGTGTAACTAAAAACTTCTAAAAGGTCAGTTCTAGTCTTATTTATTAATTAGAAGGCCTGACAAATTTCAGTATTAATAAATGTAAGTAGAATTATTCCCTCATATTTTGGTTAGTGCATTTTTGTAGTTCAAATACAGGAAGCAGCAAGCGAAGCCAATACGTCATTATATCTGGGAACTTTGCGTGATATGATTTTTGTAATAGACACTTATTAGTAACTTGTAAGATTTTAAGTTTTGGAGAATACCATTTGTAATTATTGTATTATTTATCGTGTTGACTTTAATAAGGCGTCCATTTTTTATAAATACCAGTTATTTCATTTGCACCTTGAAGCGTTAGCATTTTGTTAGTCCTATCTACTTATTAAATGTGTTTACATGACATTATTCGTTTCTTGGCCTCAAATAGTTTCTACTATACCTACTATGCAGATAAGTTTGCACAAAACTTACTCAGATCGTATGGAATTATCCATTGTGATGTATCAGATAATTGTAACTATATGACTGGGTCCCATGTGTTGAAAGCTTACCGAATATGTACCTTAACTTTACAGAGTTTTATTCAATATATTTTGCCTAAGATCTGGTCTAGCTAGTTTGTATATACAGTCCATGTAAACACATTACATTCACCCTTGTCCATATGAGTACGTATATTATGAAGTGATCTCACTTCGTATACTTACATTAGCTTGCGGCGGTGAGGTGGGGCTGACGGCAGAGCTACCGCCGCCCTTTTTCCTCTCATCGGCGCGAATAGTGGTCGGTAAGTTGATAGTATTCGCCTTGGCGTGGGGGCGCTGGGCACGAGCCCGCAGTTCGGGGGCCAGCACCCCGCCTAAAGACGGCGGAACACTCTCCGTCTTGCGAAGCCCGCACCAACCCTCACCTACACTATCGGGACGGGAATAGGAATGTTAAAATCAAAAGAAAACAAAAACAAAAATAGGTGCACCAGCTTTCGACCACTGTGTGTGTGTGAGTACTTTCAACTTGATAACAAATTATTAACAGTTATTAAATCTGTTACGTCTCTCATTTTATCAAAGTGTGATCAAAATAAAGTACATATTATATTAAGCATTTTCTTTATTTTATTATTACTGATTTCGAGCCTTCAATGATATTATAAATGCAAGAAAAAGAAGAAAGTACTCGTAAAAAAAAACAAAACAGGGGTAAAGAACTTAGAGACATGTATCAATATCATGTGTTTGGACAGTTCGTGTAATTTGTCATGACTTTAATTAATTTACTTGAATTAGACAATTATAATTGTATGAAATGAATATATTTTCTAAACTATGCAGTAAATCAGAGCTTGCTCTAACTAGGTGTCGTTAGACTATGTTAGTTGGTTAGTAAGTCGTGTTAGTATACTACAGCGGTAGGCACAGTGTTATGTCTAGTAGCGCCAGGCGCCATGTAGCGAAGCTGGCCACCAACTCATAAACATAACGAAACATAAAACAAGCATGCGGGACTAAAAGCAGAAAACCACAAGCATATTTTATTGACATTAATTTATTTTAATGGTCAAGTTACAGTGATTTTAAACGTTAATATTATATACAAAACTTAGGATCCGATAGCGAATATATACATACGACGACAGTTACAAAACTATAATACCTAAGTGTCGAAACACTCGAAGAAATTAAAAGTTTTGGTCGAAATAGAATAGCAAAAGTACTTTTCGTAAATACTAAAATATATACTAGTACAGATCATGTTAGCCACGACCGTATAATATCGTGGAATTGAAACTACACATTTATTATGATTAAGTATCGGTTACATAATGTTAGTCAAGCAGAGAACGTAACACAATAATGTGCAATCACAAACGATTCGTCGGCGAGAGTGCCGTCTCTCAAATTATATTAAATCTAAATCAGAGTACAGTTTAAATTAAGTGAGTAGTAATCTAGGTAGCGATAACGAAGCGTGAGTAGCTCCTGTCTAAAAGCATCTTCACCTAGCGGACAATGGTAGTCGACATCGTACAGACGGCGCGGGGCGGCGCGCGAAGCTACCACCGCGCGACACTCGCGCCGCCCCGCGCGGCAAGCAATATGCGTTAGCGCAGTTACAGTACTTCCAACTGTTGTCTTTCTCTTAGTCCTCAGTAGCATAGCATAACTCGGCAAACAATACATTACATTACTTGACTTCTTACATACTAATATTATAACATCCAAAGCTGATTTCTTTAAGCATTTCATGATAATATTATAATTCTTATCAACTACCTGGGAGTCACGGAAAACACTCGATATAATGAAATGTAACCTATTCATATAAAAACAGAACGAACTCAAGTGTTGGCCCCTATACGTGAATAATTTTAATCGAAATTTTCAAAACAAGTCAAGTTGACATCAATTCATTTTTGTGACAAATATAAGGGGTATGTTAAAAACTGAGCACAACACTGTAAATACATATATACCAATTATGTAAAAGGGTGACTTGAACCATAGGTAGGCTATCATACTATAAATATGTTGATTAAACTGTAATGATTAATATACGATTATCGCTAATAAACATTGAACGATCATCGATTGCGAGTAATATTACACAATATTACTGTAAATACGTTAAACACCTAATTACGTCACGATCGTGTGTTCTATAATAGTCGGGGTGAGTCCCGTTGATATCGTATAATTCGTAGTAGTGACAAGAATATTCGATTGTACGTCGGGCGTCTATCACTAACCCTACTGCGTATAGTATGTGAAATGTGTGTGTGTGAGTGTGTGACTTACCTAAGCATGCAAATACTGTCTAAGTCCGACCATTCAAAATATCGTTCACACCTTTATATCCAGTCTTCTTCGATTCCTACTTAACAACTATTCGAAAAGTTACATAATCGTTCGATCGATGTGATTTATAACGACGCAACGTCTCAACACTCTGCAGCGCGAACAAGTCTTAATATAACAGCGTAACGAAGGAAGTCAGAGTATAGAAAGTGTATCCTTCACGGGTGTACTGTGAACATTGCCTAGCTAGACGTTACTTGTCTCTGGACACAGAAGTAGATAGGACAGAAGTATAACAAGAGAAACTCTTAACAATACACATGCTTCGTGAACAGGAGTTATTTTGTTTGTTACAGTTCTCAAAACTCCTGATTGTCATCTTTCCAACGAGTATATTTGTAATTGAGTAGTATGTAACCTGACAGTGTCCAGTCAGGTACCGCGAGGTCGGGTCTGGTGCGGCGAAGTGAAAGCAGCAGCTCCGGGCAAAAATACAACGCCACTACTTTTCGAAGCAATTATAATCTACGACGTAGTGCCTACCAACATTCCGCTGCTGCCTTCGTCGCCTCGGCTTTGTGCGTTAGACACGTTATAACGTTTGTACGTTACTTCCAATATTTGGACAGGAACAATGTATATAATACGGGCAGTGATCGAGAGTAACCACGTCATTGGCAGACGTTTACAACTAAATCTATTCAATGTACTAACAAGTAAACATCAACAGACGAACATCGGCAGTGTTTACTAAATGCAAACTTTAAAATGGCAGTATGTTATTGCTAGATGGGTACGTGATGCGGCGCAAGGCAACCGCTGTGTAACTCGCTCGTGTGATAATGACGAGTTATCACTACAATGTTGATATGAGATTGTAGTGATAAAGTTGTAACGAGAGCGGCCCGACAGCGCCGCCGATGAGAATCGATCATCACTTTATTATTGCTACTATTTAACATAATTAGGTACCTATACAACGTTAAAAATATCTAAATAAATATATATCTAAATATCAATTCCAGTGTTTGTTAACCTAAAATGGACAATATAACATTCGCTAGTTGACGTTGTTGCCGCAACGTCTCTCGCGCTCGTGTCCGCTGCCGTCAGCAGCCGATTACATTACATTATTATCTCATTCATCACCACATTAATTCCTAATGATTTATTCTCTTAAAGATCAAGCACTAGACACCACACGTCTAGAGACACTACAACGCCATCAAGGTGGAGTGTTGATACGAGAGCATTATGTGTGTGATTGTGTTTGTGTAGACGTGTGCAGTAGTGCTTCCTCTAAGCCACTAAGCTCGTATGATCCTTTGCGGCCCATCACCGTGCTCCCGTACATCGCATACATCGTGTGCGGAGTCAAACCTCCCGCCCCCTCAATACTTGTGTACCACTACCACTTCACTACAGATCTTTAGTTTAAATGTATTGCATCTAGTTGTTAACCTAAGAAAGGGACACGATGACAGCTAAATGATGCCTTTAAACTACTATATTGCTTATGGCAAGTACGATTGATGTAAAGCTTTTATTTCCATGTCGAAGCAGTTTGTCGGCACCTTAACATTTCCTAACTGACCTTCCAGAGACGACATAGATTATTTTTAGATGACTTCGGTTTTATGTTATTCGACTGTTAGTAACTTGAGACATATTCGATGGATAACAGTATTGCACCATAAACATAATACATCTATAGATACAAGCCCACAGGATATCTGGTTAGTACATAAGTATTTTGTGTGTTACATTATACAAAGTTCTGAACTGAACCAAGGTGCGATGGTAATTGTTAGTATAGCCAAGTAATTAGGTCATATTATCAGGTATTATTGAAGCGTCCGGGTAGATGTCGCGAGTTACTTACGCGGCGGGGTCGCGAGGGGGTTCGCGAGTAAGCTGCTCCCTTAGATAAGCGCCAGGGTTTTCGAGAGCGTCTCCGAAATTCTTTTGTTGAGTCAAGATATGCGTGAGAGTAGAGATCCAGTTGGATCGCGTAGCCTCCGAGGGTCGGCACATGAACGCCATTGCCTTGGGTTTAGTGGTGACATCGCTGCGAACTATAAAGGCTCCGTGAGCCTCCACCTCCTCCATGTCCATCTTGTTGACCTGAATAACGTTTTACAGTAAATGAGTATTTTGTTACAATACAATTGAAATTATTTGAATAGTAGCCGGTGTGAATTCTCACCTGAATATGCGCCTTATAGTTGTAGGTTGGGCTGCTATACATTGATTTCTTGCCCACAGCCTCGCTGAATATTATAGATTGCTCAAAGAGGAAGACTTGGAGCTCCTTCCCCTTGTCGTTGCCTCCGGATACATCGGATACTGTCATCAGCTCTTGGATCAGCAGTTTGCCCTGGGCGGTTATGTTGCCCTGTAAAGAACAACAAACCACTTTTGTTAACTTGCTACCGTATACTCCACCACACTCGCGACAATAAGATGACATAAAAATGTTTCATTATTTTGCGCTAATATGTATTTGTTGTTGTTTATTTTTCGTCTTCGCAGTGCAATATCACAGTTCAAGACAACACGCTTGGTCTTATCAAATGTCGTCTGAAACCCACATTTCCCTGTTAATTATTTTATTTTTTTCAGGGTAATTATCAATGTTACAATCGGATGATTTCGAAATCCCACAAATTTCGTAGCACTTAGCTCATTTATTTCTCGAAGAGTACCCAAATTGGACTGGTGTAGAGGTACTCGACCTGTACATGAAAAGAGCTGGCACACAATTTTTTTCTTAACATTTAGTACAAATGTATAGACAACTTTAAGCATTGTGCTCGACAGACTTCACTCGTAATTGCATAAAACGCGCTCAAGCAGACAGCTTGAAATGATATTTCCTCTGTCGGAGATGAGGCGACAAATCCAAAGAGGACAGAGAAATCAAAGGTAACAGCAGATATAACTTGCGATTTTAATGTACAGTATCATAATTCGCTGCGTGCAGCTGTGTTAAGGTAACGCGCATTGAGCGGCTCGGCTTCAAGTAAGTATTGTAGCGCTAAAATCGCATTGCTTAAATATAAAAAAATATCGCAGTTGCTTAGGACATAATAAAATTACAACTAAAAATAGTATGCGAAGGTATTCTTACCGCAAAACCCTGGAGGCGGCCTACGTCCATCATGTTGTTAGCATTTTTGGGTATAATATCGGTGCATTCCACCGCCTCGCGCAATGCCGCGATCACGTGCGGCGGTGCGTTCGCGTGCTCCGAGTACGACAATATCTTCTTCACCAGCAGGTGATACTTCTGTATCCGCTGTATGGGCTTAATCAACAGGTCACCGAGCTGAAATATGACGACCTCGTGTTATAGTAAACAGCACATGTGCCGAGGACACTGCGGCCATGCAGACACAGGAAGCGACAACACCAATCATTCAGCAGCGCGTGTGTGTGTAGAGTAGTGATGGAAATAAACATAAAATCCCCCAAAACAAAAAGTAAATGAGTTGTGGTGGTGGCAGCGCGACTTCAGCCTGTCATGCAAGCGTATACCTGAGGTCGAGGGCAGTCGAGAGAGCGGTACTAACGTTACAAATATACATAACACGCAACACATTCCCGGGCTTACACTTGTCAGCCCAACGTGTTCCGTGAAACATACTTTATACACACGCTAGCGGCCCTCGCGCTAAACGTGCATACTTTTACAATAAATCTCAGAGCATAGCTGGTAACACTAGTTTGTTACCAAATATAAAATTTTGAAAAATCACTGAAATCATTTGTTGATTAGTAATAATTTTCGTGGCCAATGGGAATGTACCGAACTGTTCTAGTCTAGAACAGGGTGAAAGTACCAGCATTGCTTGATATTTTAACATTGGACTCCATCAGTACCTGAGACAAAGTACCGCGGGCTCCGGGGAGGTAAGTGCGTTCCCTAAGGCGGACCTACAATCAAGCATATTACTTATACCATCGATGTGGCAACAAGCATGCGGCCCACTGGTTACACAAGTGGCCACCGCAACATTTTCCTATATATGGATTACATTCGGCATCTATTCTTGCGCTGCATTGAGGCAGAGATAGGCAACACGTATCCAAGTATATTACGATACTCTCGCAGTGTAACATATGTATCATGAGATGAAAGATGCGATGACACTAGTGTCGGTGGATCATCCAGGAGGACAGTTATAAAAGTTCCATCATCAAGTCGTAGATATGTTTCGACATTGGCACTACTATGAGTGTATAAACTCTAGGAATGTTTATATCTGTCAGTCCGAAGGTGCTTTAACAGTGTCAGTCTTGGCTCTGTGCACTTTGTTTAGTATTTTATTTATGATCCATGCGATGGCTTTCAATGGCTTTAGTCACTTTATTTAATTTTTATTTAAAGATTCAAGAACATCACTCAATTATTAAAGAGTAAGCACTGACGTCTGCGGTTAATGGATAACGGCTAGTGATTAATTAGTCATGAAAACTTCAAATCTATAATTTAAATAATGACCGCACACGTCGACGCCTACAATGATTACAAGCAATATATTTGCCAACGCACCTGCAACTTCTGGCCCAGTTTGACTCGCAATTCCTGGAAGTAATTGTCATGCTCAGAGACAATGTACTCCGAGACAGGCTTGTTACGGCAATATGCTTCGTACAGAAACATCCGTTTTTCCAGGAACCGTCGGAACAGCGGTCCCAGCAGCTCGGGCTCTTCGATGCATAACTGGAGCTCCTTCAGAAACTTGCTGCACAAACCAAACATTTCATCATGTATGGACATACAACATGGCATTGTATTTAATTAGCGCAAGCCCATAACTAACTTTAAATACATCGCTAGCGTTACACAAACTATTATCGATGTTTACATTAAAATAGATCCTAGAAGAGAATAACCTTTTCTCCCAACTATGACATTTTATTTACTTTCATCGGTATGATCCCACCTAGTCAACATTTGTTTGCTCACAATTATATTTGAGTTTGTTAGTAAGCCTAGTTATTATTGTATAAATAAGTTAGGTTTAGTCCTTATTGTTCAAATTACAGAGACCACAGAGCAAAATTAATTTACGTGAACTGTGAAACTGTTCTGAAATTAACTTTTATGATGGTATGTTCCTATTGTGGTCTGCCGATGTCAGTGGCTGACAGTTGTCAGGTAAAATTTGAAATGGCTGTGCAAAAATTTCCTATGAATTTAAAATTTTCTGAAACTGATAATAATGAATGTTAATACCTACTACTATATGTGAAATTTAATAATGAGCCGCCGAAATAGTTGGTTTGTATAGAAAATACGCATAGCGCGGTAGCAGACATTCGCAAGAGTAGATATTGTTGTAGTAAAAAAAATTTTGTATAAAAATTAAGACATATGGTTTGCCTCCTAGCATACAGACGTAAGTACGCATTGTCTTCACTCTAATATTAAAGTTAATATATAATGTGTATACTTACTCGCGGTGCCACTCGTAGATAGCCTCGATATTGCCGAATATCATTCGATGACGTCGGTCGCGCAGGCCCTCGGGCAGGCCAGGCTCGGCCTTCGGGTCCTGTACACAAATATTTAATTTAATTGCTCGTAAAGATCGGATCGATGAACTTTCATTTTAATTTCTTCGAGTCCTCGGCCTTGTGTGATACGAGGAGAGGCTATATCGTGTCCTCTATACATGTAATATTATGAATATACATGTAATATTCTTTAATAGCAAAGTACTAGGTACTTGGATTTATAAACTGGTAAATGATCAGATGGATCACCGGTTGGTAAACAATCGGCGCCGCCCATGGACACCCGGAACACCAGAGGCGTTACCAATGCGTTTTTGGCCTTTTGGGGACTTTCACGAGAAAGAGTAACCTACGGAGTTTCTTGTTCGTTCTTTTCCATAGGAATCTACACTTTGGAATGAGCAAATAGCATGACTTTTATTTTTTTTGTTGACGTTCAAAGTGACTTTCTGGTCGTTAGACCAGAATTTCAGTTTCAGAATTTCAGTTATGAAATAAATGATTTTGACTTTGATTTCACGTCGGTTTTCTGTCAGGCCGTGGCATCACTCCGGACCAGCCGGCCGACTCTCCCACACTTAAATATAATTACTTCGTCGCATATTCGATTTGTCGACCTCTGTATAGCAGTACGCAAAAACTTTTTCGTGTACCTATTTAAAGTCTTTTTGACACATTTGAGGTTTACACAGCACACCACAGGGTTGCAGTATAAATATCCAAAGATTACATCTTTCCATCCAACAAGAATTAAAAAATCAACCATAATTAGAGGACATTAATAGGTTAAGTTTTCACTGACGCTGGCAGTGATCGTCTCACCTGCACGTGGCGCATGTACCCCTCGCACACAAGGCGCAAGTCCGAGACGTATATTTCCTCAGTCTCGACTAGTTCCCGAAGCACGTACTCCCGTTTCTTGAGAATATCTTCATACGAGTTCGGGCCGGGTGTCACGGGCCCTGCCTCCTCTTCCTCACCGTTCCTGCCAGATGATGAAGCGACGCCATGCTGCTCCTAAACGGTACATACAATAAAATAGAATGTTCGAAAGGTATATTCTCGCAATGAAACTACCAAACTTTAATGACAATACGCTTAACTAAATGCATTTTTTTAATATAAAATCATCATCGACACATCCATTTATTTAGCACGTGATGATTGCGGAGCGAACCGTTGCACTAGTACAATTACACTCTGAAAAGTGGTAGATGTTAACTGAATGCGAATTCAATCGATTCATACGTATATACATAACTTGCTCGATACTATGTCGTATCGATTACGGCCGCAAACCGACTGTAGTCACAAAATAAAACCATGCAAGATAACTAAACTCAGAAAAAAAGGCGTAAAAGAACAAACGCATGCGATACGAAGCGACTTTCAACAAATTGAAATAAAAATGAGCTGTCAACAACAACTGTAACCACACACGCTCTGAAGCTCTTTTGCATGATGTTTGTTTGAGCATAATCAAATAAATATTGCCGACTCTATCAAAGAACGACGTGAAAGTAAATTTGCTACAGAAATATTGCACCGCATACTGTTCAAAGTTGTTACTTCATAAATACACTCAATTGCGAAACTAGGAACGTCTTTAATTTAACGTGGAGTATTTAAACAACTTGTTTTTGTAAAACAAAAGGTTTACGCAGATTTTGATTATACTGCACATTTGTATAAATATAGTAGGACACCACGGTTGAACAGTACGGGTAATGCAACTAAGGGAAATCCAAACATGCAAACTTCATGCACTGATATAGAGCCGAACCATTCTTGCAGTGACGATTTGTAAGATCTCGTCAATATCGGCAGCTCCTCCATTACTGTCCATGGCATCCATAGCCATCGAATTCTGAAAATGTCGCCCGGTGCAGGCCAAATATGAGTATACCAGATTCCCGAGAGAAGACCGAGTTTGTAAGTGTAGGCAAGTGGCGGTGAGCATAGAGCCGAGGCGTGGGTACTTACTCGCGCGGCGGGCGGCGCGGTCGCGGCGGCAGGCTGCGGTGCCTGCTGCAGCACCGACTGCGGGTTCTGACAGAATACATCACATGCTTAGTATAGTATACACTGCGCGGTACTTGTGTATGACGTCCGCTCATGCATTACGAGACACTAAATACACAGAGAGGAAGAAAGGTAGAGTATTTAATTGTCCGCTGGTTTCTGGTATAATTCGTTACGATGTCTTCAACTTTTCATTGGAAAAGTTTGTGAATGGTTTGACTTTATATGTAATAGGAAAGTGCTAAAGTCTTAATATTAAGTACGTAAGAAGTGCACTTGAATAGAAATCTATATAAAACATAAACAATTAAACATGAAAAATGGTTTAGTAATTGAATTACTAAAACAGTTTTCGTATTCTATAGTAATAACATCGAAATACAAAACAACATTTTTAACAAAGAAAATATTCTTAGACAGTTTTCCATGTAATTATTAGTACGGTTAACTTACCGTGGTATTTCGCTCCACGTATAACGTGATTGAAGAAGTAAAACAAACCATTTTTATAGACTAAACACGATCTAATTTTGTTTACCGTTACGTCACCCGTAATATCTATAGGATGTCCTTGGATATCTGGATCAAACCGAACATAGGGTCACGGGGAAGGACCACGGTCCCTGGGCATATTATTACGAGTCCTGTGTATCAGTGTGGGCCTATTGTCGAACTGATGGCACGACATATGCACCGTCTATCCCTTCGGTAAATGAAAATTGTAAAATGACGACGTCACCGTGGATACAGTTCTCTAACCCTTTATTTGTTAAGAATATTCAGTTATCCTTCCACACAGTGACACCCTGTACAAAAGAGTGTAAACATTTGGTTGCTACTCGGGCTACTCGGAGTTTTATTGAAAGAAGTGGACTTGAGAAACGCACCTCGCTTATGCATGGCACGATTGTACAACGCACTGAATAAAATAATTCTATCATGAAATGTTCATAGACCTTAGTACGAGATTTTTTTTACGTCTAAATTAATCGAAACGGGACCGCGTTCGGCATTTTGATTGGTTAGTTCATTGGAGCCGGCCAATCAGAGCGCCGAACGGGTACTCATTTCGTTTACTTTAAACACACTCGTACTAAGCCGTCAGGTAATGACGTTGGTAATAAATCTGTCAAATGGTTTTCATACATAGTGGTTACGTAGTTAATAGGAAATTCATCGGCCCCCAAAACAGTACTCCTTAATTATTAACAACATAGTATATTAATTGTGTATTGATTGAAATACCGAACATTGTACTGAAACAGGATATTAAAGGTACGGCGAACAGAACAAACTCAAATACAAAAGCAACAATGTGTTGTAATTTCACTTAGTGGAAGGATAACATAATAAGCGACATGGGGCATGTTTGATCGCATGTACCCACACCTTATAAGCCCAGCTCAGTATGAACTTTTGCAACATCGGATTCAAAGTTCATCTTTGAATCCGATGTTGCAAATGTCGGCGATGTGCACAATATGCATGACATCACGTACTTGCTCACACCAGTAAAAAGTTATCCGGACATAGTTCAAAGAGTTTTAATGATATGAACGCGGAGTTCAATGTGACATCGTCAAGTCACGCTTTAAGAACAGCTTGTGATTACAGTGGAGGCGCTTATATATCTGCAGAAGCGAATCCAGGCTAAGTAGAAGACGTGAAGTTTCTTCTTGCAAGTGCAAGAATTCACAAAACTTGTCACGTAGTTGTTGTTAGCCGTCTATCGACAACAACTCACGAGATATCGGGACTACACAACTTTAACACTCCCGAGATTCCTTATCTTAGAAAGACGAAGCGTTCCACAAAGTTTGGTAACTATATAGACTTAACCCCAGTAAATAACTGAATAATTATATTATGTAACGTCAACATTCCATACTCTTACTTGTTTACTTATGAAATCTAGCCGTAATGAAGTTCAAAGTCCATAATTGCTAATTTATCGGACAGCTTTAACTAAAATGTTGATTTCTTTTAAGAAGTAACTTTAAAATCTTCGTTTCATATCGTATGCCTTTCGTTCGGTCGACATAAATGGCCTCAGAGTTTGTGTATCTATATAGTGCAAACATGCTTTAAACATGAGCAGAGAGCCCTTTGGTCGAATAATTTGCTTGGATGCGTTCTGATTGGTGTAGGTACGTCGATGCTGATGGATTTGATCTTGACACAATCCACTTCGGAGAGCGAACGGTACGTCACTCAGGTTGCTAGGTTCGAAACACAATTATACCTGTAACGGCTTCATCGGTGGTGGTAGCTCTACGTCGGCGGCTTCATCTTCAGCTTCGTCGAGCACGCCTGGTACTCCCTTTCCTACGTCGTGGTCATCGGCCCGACCATTATCGCTAACGGCGGCAGCATACGGGAGCTGTACCAATTAAATTATTAGTCATAAGAAAAAAATTAAAAAGGATAACAATGCTTGTTTTCCACGAGAGCATTTATAATGGGCTAATGTACCTACACGAACAATCTGTAAGCGATAAGAAAATTATAGATGTAGTTAATTGGATTCTCTCAACTTGGATCGATGATCTTTATACATATAAGTCGTATTTTAGCTTTATATTTTTGTTGCCACGACATAATGAGACCGAGTCAAAATATGACAATATTTAATGGAGAAATCTTAACTTTTAATGCACAATATTGTGCTAAAAGTAAAGTTTCATAAGTATAAGAAGACCTGATGAAAATACATGTAGTCATTTCAATTTTTAATTGAGAGAAGATTTACGATGTCGAAATTGATTAATAGTAACAAGCATAAACATACCTTAAGCTTCTTGTCTGATGGTATCTTTTTAAGTGGTACAGGTTTATCGGTGGTAGCTGGTGACTGGGCGCCGCTGGCACCCTTGTCGGTCTTGGTTTGAGACTGTTTGCGTAAGCCGAGCCATCGTTTCCTATGAAACGAAGACAATGAGTGGTCATTAAAATGTCAATCTTACACTGTATTTCAACATTAAATTACAAATATTTATTAAAAAAATTAAACATAGGTAATAGGTCTCTCATATTCTTGTGTATTTGCCGCTACCGATTAGTGATTAATTGATTATACAATGCTTTTTAACTATAGACGCGTAAAAATAAATCATATCGACACATTCTAATGCTCTCCTCAAACGTTTAATTTGTTACGGTTTAATTGACATTCATAAAAGAACACGGTCTATAAGCAAGTACAGTGTATACACCACGATTTCATTAATATTTCATATAATTCGTAAGGTAAGAGGCTTAAACGAGCCACTATTCAATTATTTGGTCATATTTAGCAATAGAAAATTAATTTACATTTTCCGGTACTTAAACAAAACGTGGTCTACAAGTAGAATTTGCGAAATGTACCTAAACTATGTACACTTTTCAGCGAAGCTTAATTTCAATAAACCTTTTATAATTTAATTGAAATTTCCAGCTGTACAGTATTGCTCTTTTGTGCAAACATTTCTAAAGGGAATTTGAAGTTCTGTGCAAACGAGAGGTATTCTGGACAGTCCAGTCCAGTTAAATGACGTTTTTGTAGACTGGTGCACAGCACCAGTGTTTTAAGGGTATAATTAATTCATTCGTTGCGATGTTTCCCGGTATCTACTAAACATTTACTATTATAGGTATATGCGGCTTAATTGAAAGTCCTGCATTGATTGTGTTCAGTAAAGCGAACACGAGCTTGTTCCGACATCAGTCAGTAGTCTGTAGGTTGTATTATGGCCGCCGGTTGCGGGCTGTGGTTAACCTCAGTAGGTAACGAGCGAAGCTGTTAGACACTGCCAGTCTTGTATCAGGATTCACATCTGCAACTATTTAGGCACAGCGTCTTACGCTGACCATGGCCAACTATGTACCACAATAACTATGTACCACAATAACTACATGTAATCCAATATGAAAACCGCAATGTGTGTACTGGATTATATCGTGCGTCACTACTAATAATAGTTTTCCTCTTATTTGATTGACACACTCAGTTACAGTTGACATTTGAAACACAAAAATTTGATACATACATTGTTGTAAGTTATCACGATTTTGTCTTGTACATTTCAAAATTGCCTACAATAATATCGCTTCTCTACGTTCATAACATAAAAATTCTTCAACATTTAAATTAACATAATATTTGATTATGTTAACCAAATCGGCAGTCATTTAACAAGTACATTTGCTTAGTCATCTTTTATCACCTCAGAGACTAGTAAATGTATGTTGGTACAGGCTGCGTCATAGATAGTTAGGCATCGCGAGTTATCTTGGCGAATACGTTCAGCTCAAAAGATGATGCTCATCAGCGTAATGACGTCCGTCCTCTAAATGAAATAAGGCTGCCTAGCTCTTTGTAACCGGCTTTGCAAAAATACGAGCATAATGGCACACTTTTATTTCGAGTTCTTTGAATAGCGCTGTTACTACCTACTCCTAACCAAACACTAATGCTGCGCCAGTAGAGTTAAAATAAACCAAATTATCGATACAGCATTAAGTACAATTTGGATAATCTAATCTAGATTGTGAAATATCTACAACTGAATAGGTACGGAGTGTTTAATTTTAGTACATACAGCATAATATTTTAAAATAAAACAAAGTTTTGTAACCATAGTCTTGGGAGGTAGGTACCATATAAGCGAAAATGGGAGCTTTGGGACTTGGGATATAGGTAACTAATGGTGAAGTATGACACTAAGCACTCCTGTTTTGAAGACAGGCGCTGTAAATCTTAACGCATGGTCATGCAACCTCGTTCACATATAGTATGAATGTTTTACATACGAATCACAATGCTTATTTGCCATTGTCCAAAAAAAATTTTGAGGGCGCTTTTAATTTAGCCCTTTCACATGTGTGCGTTTATTAGCTGGACGTTCTGAACGTGGACGACAAAAGGAACGACCTCATGCATTCTAGCTCAAAACCCCATTCATATATTTTCTAGTATCCGATAAAGATCTACGACCACTACATAAGTGCTTCTTTCAATTATTGTCACTATCTTCTTTAACCCCGTATTGCTTTCTGATTACGTCCATTTTCACTTTATCTATTCACAAGTACCACCCGAAACTCTAACCTTCATTTATAATATTACATTCGAACTTTTTCTACGAACGTTTCTAGGTTTTTATATATGGTATATCAGAGCTGGTGCCAAAACTCCCTGCACTAGGGCAAGGCGAGCTTCAGAAGAATATACCTCCCTAGCAATAATGGAGCCCAAGACATGATTGACGGTGTTTCCCACTTTTACTCTCCTATCAACATCTCACTCGTATTTACCGTTTCTATTCTGGTAGGTACAAATTCTAGGAAATATTTTTTCTTTTCTTCAAAGTCAAATCGTATATTGAAAGACACTGACAACATATTCAATTATAGGTTTATCGGATTGTTTACGAATAATACGAATGAATTCTGATATTAGTTTCGAAGTACCGGTGCGTCTTCTTTGATTCTACTTATTCGGTTCGACGACGAAAAATATACGGTTTATTAACAAAGGAGCAAGAAAAAACCTTATACTTTGAGTAACTGAGTCGTAAGACTTCATTAGAAACCTGACAACAAGATCAGATTAGTCGCATCATTTGTGTAAACTATTTATACATATGTATTATAGAATAGAAATGTATGTTTCCTAAACATTTCCATGATCACCGTCGTTATGTATCAACAACACTTCATAAATTATAATTTGAGAAAATAAGTCGTAAATCTAGGATTCAAACCTCACAAGATTTAAATACGTCGACTAGTAAGTCAAGGACAATCAGATTATAAAAGAAATCTACGCTATACTTCGCAAATATTGAAACAGCTAATACACAAGCACTTATATAAAAATACAAAATAGGTAGGTACGTAACGTATAGGCACAAGGGATTAATTTGTTCACTGAATACGCAGAAACACTAGAAAGTAGAAACTAATACCAACGCAGCAGTAGACGAAGATTGAATTCACAATTAAACGTTTCGCATAAGGATTCCTTAGACAAAAGTTTTAGATGCTATGGTACCCGGTAGACAATAATATGAACTTTAATACTATGAAACTACGAACCAAAATGAAATCCAAAGTTAGTAAGATGGAATCAATAATAATGGTCATAGGAATAGAATAGACTTAACGAAGTTAGTTTTTACCTACGCTTTAAAATATGACCTCATAATTAGCAGATGACCTAACTTGATGCATGCCGCAAAACTTTATACACATTGGTTATCAAAAAAATTACAGCATACGATGACTAATGGTAAAGAGCAAGCCTCATTATCTCTAGTGTATGGTAGACCATACACTAAACTCGAGCTTGGTAGAAAGCTCGAGTTTACTTCACTGAATACTTAAACAAGGCGTCTCGGTTTGAAACTTCATAAAAAGTGAACGAGTTACTTCTTATTCGTCAGTGTCGCAGCTGTACACAACTACACGCGCTGCCTGCACAGAAACTCGAAACATTGAAACAAATCGAGACAGTTATCACCCACATGAAAAGGTTTCATGGTTGTGATTAATAATACCGATACAAGGTTCGTACCTATAGATAAGTTTAGTGGACAACTTGCGGGAATTAACGTATTGGATATATCTGAATGATTGCGATTTATGTTAGTGCGGACGAGCGGTCCAGTGTACGTGTAACCAAGGACTTGTCACCACATTGCGGTCGCACTGCGGCGACCACCGACAAAAAAATGACCCAACTGCAACTACACTGGAAGTCGTTCGGTTCTCAAAGACCCACCCGCGTTGCGCAACTCACACCAGATCACATCACACTACAGCGACGACCGGCCAGCACTTGAGACTTACTTTACACAAACAACTTGATTCCACATAGTTGCAACGTCGCGCTACCATCACTGTCACACACGTTCACTGCTACGGTCACGTGTACACTGACTCACATACAAAATGTGCACAAACACTGTTATCTAAGTTCTATTTCGAAGGAGTAAATAATCTGATCGGGGGACGGTCAGCAAGGAGCGGTATCAGACGAGATACAGTCGCGATAATGTTGTAATTGTAATGAGCGCGTGTATGTGTGTACGGGTGTACGAGTGCGGCGTCGGCGTTATGTCGCCGGCCGCCGGGCCCAGCGGCACCCGCAACCGGCGGCCGCCTGTCACACCGACGCGCCACGACCATCGACGACACCCTAATTACATATCAATTAGGTAATGAACTCATCCAACCTGTCGCCGTACGTTACTGCAAACAGACACCTAGCTAGAGCCGTCCAATTCGACAGATCGATCCAATTCGTTCGTTTACAGCTGGAGCTCAGTTCTAAAGTGATTTGCGTTTCATGTGAATATATTACAGAGTACCTATTTGATTATCTTTGCATGGTATGTACAAAGTGAATACACGAGATAAGATAACGCACATTTTAAAGAATTGATAACACTGACATAAGGGTGTTTTGTGATAAGTATTTGTCCTAGTAAAATTTTAATAATGTAATCACAAAGAGATTCGTTTATTTTTCATAAAATGAAAAGTACCGGGAGTGCTAACAGATTGTCTAATTCAGATGTTTAAATTGTTCTGTTTGACTATGCTTTCGAACAAAAGAGAAAGCAAGATAAATCGCAAATAAAGAGTTGGCGGTACCGAACTACGAGGAAGTTTCGGAAAGCTAATTAGCTTCAGCCAGGTTCCACTTCATACAGAGGCGGGAACTTCATACATTACAAAGCAGGTATTAATAGAGTTGTACTCCATGTACGGGAAGACTTTAAGACAAAACCAATAAACTTACTATTTAGTTTTAACAAATACTAAACGCAAAGCAGTGAAGCCCTGTTCGAAATGAAAAACGGACAATAGTACTTATGTCTTTAAATATTGAGGAAAATGAATATTAAGAAATATGCAAAAAATATGCAGTTGTCGAAAGATAATATAAAATGTAGACGTGATGAACAAGTAGTTTGTTCGAGGATTAAGCCCAGTATCACAGAGAAGAAGGTATTTCAGAAAGTACCAAAATTGTGGGACGATATGTCATGAAACACATAATGAATAAGTATCTCTACAAGCTTCTCACTGAAAGAGGATTTTAGAAGACTGCTTTAAAGAATATTAAATGCAGGGGATTTAAAATTTAAACGTGTTTCCTCGGCCGTAGCGCGTTTCGTATTTTTCAAAAATCAAGGAGTGGTCAATCCTCGTCGAATTCATAATTCAACGTTTAAAGAAACAACACCAAGACGTATTCGTTTACGTCAAACCGTTACGTAATGTTTTTGCGGCCTGAATTATTAGCATGATGCATGCGGATAAACAATTCGGGAAGGTACCACAAACAACACACAGCAAACAAGTTCGAACGCGGACACTGACACATTATCGGAACACATTGAGAACCTGCAGAATTGAAGCATGAATAAATGAGTGTAGGTGTTCGAGTGAAGATAACGGTCGGTGAAACAAACAACCTGATATGATGGAAACAGTTGGCACAACAGAGCCGCGAGTCGTCCGCGTCCGCGTGCATCGTCGTCTGCGCGTGCGACGCCTTCGCACCACCGAGCGACTGAGCGCGTGAACCGCGCTGCCGCGGTATCGTCGGAGGAATTAGATAAAACCAACCCAAGATAAAAGATGACTAAGAAACAAAACGACGAATCATTCATTTTCAGTTATATGAATAGATAAGGGCATGTATTGTTTCATGCAAATTTTATTTTTGTTTTGAAATCGTTATCTTGATTCTACACTTAACGTAAAGGCGTGTCAATAAACATAACTATTTATAATATTTCTTTCTATTTGGTCTAAGTGTGAACATTTTACAGTAGAATCCAACGAAACATATAAATTATCCTAAATTATGAAGCTTGATTGATGAACCGTGTTTCTTAATATTCGTGCTACGCAGAGGAGAACCGTAAGATAACGTTCAAATCACTTACCCGCCGAAAGGCTTGCGCTGCTTCACTGGGCTAGCGGCGCTCACACTGCCGCCAGGGTCCGAGTTGGAGGCTTCTGCAAAGAACAATAAAAACATCTTTCGTAGGAATCAATAAACTCGTAATTGTTTTTTAAAACTAAAAATAGATAATTATGTTTTTGAACTTTTATGAAGTGTGAAAACAAGTAAATGGTCATACAAAGCAGGTTTCTCTTTTGATATATGTTATTTCAGCATTTTGTGAGCCGTACAATAATTTTAGACTGGCAAAATTTTATTCGTAATGTTACCGTGTAACGTGTAAATGTAACAAAAATTATCATCATCGGCAACCTAGTCAAAAATACTTGAGAAGATTGTGCGAATTGTGTTGCATGAAAATAATTTTCCGTAAGTTTTTACTTAGATGAAATATTATTATATATTGTAGATGTAACAATTTAGTATATTGTAGATGTAACAATTTAGTATATGGTAATGTGCCTTGAGCTTTAGCTAACAGATTTTTTTCTTATTGTTTAACGAATAGTGTTAGAAAACCAATGTCAGAATTTTGTAAAACAAATTAAAAAACAAACTAGGGGCGTGCAGAAAACAGTACGACTATACCGAACACCCTGTACATTTTGGGCCTCATTAGGTACTTACGCATCCTTTTAAACATTTATCCAAAAATAGCTAACTTCCTCTTCAACGGGGATGACCAACAGATTACAATTAAACACAAAGCTGCTCGTAACACATTCGACAAATAATTGTTTAATGGGTTGTAATTGTAATTAATAGCTTTCTGGAGATTAAGTACTGTATCTACTGTGTCCACACGACTAGATCAACACTTACTGCTGTACTTCGTCGATTACCTGACTAAATCAAAGCCACTGTCAGTTCCTGATTATTTCCTATATTGCACATTCTATGGATTGATACAGTTAACAAAATAAAATCTATCAGTTATTCCATAAAAGCTTTTACCGAGTTTATTGTTTGCACTGATCTTCAGAAATAGCTGCATAAAATTGAAAATATTGAGTTGTCTGCGAATGTGTCTAGCGAGCGAGCTACAGCCTGACGTAGACACAAGACTTCAATGTACTGGTAATATCGACATTGTTGTTACAATACATGTACGTACGCGGACCGTGCACTAAGCCGCCCTGATCTTAATGACGTTGGTCGTGGTGAAAGAGACGGAATTGAGCTTTATGTATCAAATGTCAAAGGCTTAACTTATTTAACAGCCACAATAAGGGATTATGGAGAACTACATTTTTATAAAAATAAGGTAATATCCGATTAATGTTACCTACTGCACAGCGCTGTACCCATTTTCTGCTACATTGTGGCTATTGTTGGGCAATTACATGTAATAATATGCCAAGCGTGTAGATCAGTGCAGGCTATATGGATACGTTGAGCGCAACTGCGGCCCGCATCAGCCGACCAGATAGGCCAGTCATTGTGAGTAAAGCTTTGTCTAGTTTATTAAGTGGTAACACGATTTTACGCCGGCTACCGATGATTGTTACCATAAACTACGAAGAGGATACGAAGTAATAAAGACTGCACAAGTTAATAATGGCTGTGGTACTAGTGTAGCGTATGTCCATTAGCATTAAATTATACCCTCGGGGACCTATAGAGCGGGGTGACACTGGACAGTTGGAGCAAATAGTAGCAAGTAAGTATATGTTATCTTTACGATAATATTTTTATAAATCTCCCTAAATTAGGGCACTCAGAAATTTTTCGCCTATTATCGAAGTTTTAAATATCCATACAGCGTCTGCAGTTTCTATTAAAAAAAACCGAATGACAGATACATTGATTAAAATCTCTAGATACATGAATCCAGTGTGATTGTGGAGTGCGACGTCAATGCCCGCCTGTGCACTTTCTCATATTACAACCGGGTATCTTTCACTATCGTGGTGTAATGAACATTATCCAAAGGATTTATACAGAATGTCCAGTAAAAAGTAGGATAGGACCAGTGGGTAAAGTAAAGCGGACTTAAAACGAATAGCAAAATGAGTGAAAATATTTATTTTGTAAGCATATACTCATCATGTACAACAGACACTGGCAAACAGTCGATTTATGCGAAACAGAAAGCTGAGCGTACAAAAATACATTAATCAAAGTGTGCACAGCACAGTGTAAACGCATCCTAAATTAAAACTCGTTCTTTACTGACAAGGTTGCAGTATGATCAACAAATCGGTTCGGAAACAACACATCAGGTCGCTGTCGAATTAATGGGACCGAGTGTTGACTTGACGAATGAAACTAAAACATAGTTCGCTAATTGAATGGGATTTCACCGAAGATTTACTTGTGTTGTGGTGGCACAGTTTATGTGCGTGAAATATGACGGACTGTTAGCACGTGACGAAATCCACGCTCGACTCCACACGTGTCAACGACCACATGTTTTTTGTTCACAGACGATGTTCGAGTGTTATAATTTAAGCAATGCAAATGTCGGCACCGCTTAGAGTAATCAACCGACTGCGCCAAGAACACGTATTTTTACAGGTAAGGGTATACAATTTGCAAAGTACCTGCCAGAAACAGCAACGCTCTGTAACACCACGAGCAGAGGAACATGTGGGGCCGTGGCTGCCTCGACTGCGACTGCCTAAAGCGATACGCGATGCCCGACCCCTTAGTGATGTCCATTCATTATACAACGCGTCTATCAAGGTAATTTTTTGATTCGGCAAAAAATTCGGCATAATCGCAAAAACATTATTAGCTAAGAAATGAATTTTGTAAATATTATTAATGTATTACTTCAGGGTTGTGGACGTATCATTGAATAACATTGGATGTGCTTATAGATCTAAAAGTCCATGAGATTGTTCAACCGTTCTGCTTACTCAAATAGAAAGCTAGCTATTTTTATTATTTTTCAAAATAAAAACTAAAATCTGTCGTTATTTCGAAAATAAAAATAGGATTGTCTCGTGCCTATTGGTTGAGGCTGAGTGTAACCGAAACCAGTGTTCCGTGAGATCGGCTTCGGAATCGGGCGGCGTGTTCAGACAAGCCTCATCTATCGATTCTCTCGCGGGAGCTTCTGTCCGAACTCAGATGGTCGATCTTGACACTTCTTCTAAATAGAAAAAAAAGCGAGAATAGCCTGCGATGTCTATTTACTTCTTAATAATATACTGTTTAATACATAGAAACTTATTTCATTCAAAGACAAAAACGACGTAGGCACTAAGTTATCGTCATACAAGGCTAGAGATCCAACAAATGATATTTAGGAAACAGGTGCGAGGGTTTTTGATATTGAAAATGTTGTTTAATATAAATATATACTCATACACACACCACAATAGTACTCAGTGCATAGAGAAATAGGTAATTAGCAATGTAATTGTACCATAAGGCATGTTTGCGGTCGAATATTTCGATAGTAGTACCACTAAGTGCTCTCAACAAATTATAGTCTGCTAATTGAGGCGGATATCAGAATCTGACCACTGTAGTACGCTACCATGTAACATACGAGTGAATCGAACTATCAACGAAATTCCAGGCTAATTTGTACATTATGTAGCTTATTTTAATCTCTCATAGCTGTGTGTAGCTATGTGTACCTTTCATCATACCATGTAGCAGCCACAACAAAAGCGTGCGGTTGGCAAGCAGTAAAAGCGTAACGATATCTATACAATCGATTAGACGGACGTGCGAAAACGATTGCCGTCCGGACGAACTGTTATTTTTTCCACCGTGATGCTGCGGCGTGGCTACGATTTTCAAAGTCTAACATGGTTTCACTGACACACCTGTGAGAGACTGCGACGTTTCTCCAGCAGATTGTTTACGTCTACATTGTTAAGATATTTCAAATAAGTAAGTAAATACAATCGGACTGTGTTATGATGCTCAGCCATTTTTCTTTTGTTTAGGGAATCGAAATTACATTTTCCTCGCCTTATTCGGTCGCTCTCTCGTTGGAATTGCACAACTATTTAGAAAATGGAGACAGCTTGGCTGTTGTCTTGTTAAATTAAAATCTCGTCAAGCAGGAACAATGAACTAGATTGCCGGGCGTTATTTAACTTAAATAAAACTTCTTAGTTATACGGCTGCCAAAGGATCAGGTTCAAACGTTGCTCGGGAACAGCGGGGAGTCATTTTACTCTTTTGTTGAAAAAAACCTTTGTGATTGCATTATGAATTTCCAAGATTTTCATTTAGCTTTTGAAATATAAATGTAAAATAAAATGTTGGTACTTGGCTATTATAATTTAATTTACGTTTTTCTATTGTAGAGAGCATGGAAAATGCTTTGTTAAAGTGTAATGCACCCAGGAAAGGAAGTATTCTGAAGTATCTCGACGTCTGCTTAATCAACTTATGATCTGGGTTACATGTGACATTAAAATTCTGCCTCCGTAAAGTACAAGTCATTGGCTATGGATGGCTATAATTAAGTAGTGGTCGATGAAGTACAGTCAAATACATTGCACTGTTTAATCACTGGGAACATTGTTAGTAAATAAAACTACACAATTTATAAGAAAGGTTATAGACAATAACCGGTACATCTACGTTAAACTGACAATACGATGTACTAGAATATATCAATTTATTTCAGAAAATGATATAGAGACAACGCGAATGCATTACGCAATATAAGCGCACTCCAACATCAATCCAAAATTCCAAAGCGAAGGGAAAGGACAATATAATATACTAACTTCATTAACTTCACTTCAGTCTATTGTCTTCACTTTTTTATAGACGTATAATGATGTATAGGTACCGCAATAACCGAGCAATTAATTTGTTAATTGGTTAAATTCATACTCGTAAATCACAAGAATCGAATTTTAATAAAGCAAGTAATTGGCATAAACAGACTCTTTGCCAAAAACGTAAATGGCAGTTTGGAAAGTTGCTCCCTTCGGAGATTACCAAATTGAATATTTTTAATAAAGCGTGATTTGTGCACGCACTCTGTATGTGGGGACTGGATAGCGGGTAACCCAGTAGCCGAGTGGTAATTACGTGCGGCTCCGCAGACAACACACTGTACATCACACGGCGCTAC